GGTCAGAGTTACCGGGATTGAAGAGTAGTCAGGAGTCGTTATGGCAGAAAGCAGGTCTGGATCTCCTGGGGCAGAAGAGTATCCAAAAATCAGGCAGGTCCGGGGTCACAAAACCAGGGTGAGCCAGAAGCGCGAGCAAACAGGTTCCGGGTGTGAGCTTTGCAGGCGATCTGACAAAGGAGAGCTGAAAGACAGGGCTTTAAATACTGGGAGAGGTAGTGGGTAATGCAGCGCAGCTGGCAGAGTAATTAGAGCAGAGCAGAGCAGGGACAGGTGGAGCTAGTTAGGCTGAGTAGAGAGAGTGGTGAGCAGAGTGGAAGAAAACTAAGGTGGTAACCCGGTGGAGTGAGAGGCTCATGACAGAAACAGAAAGATTTGACTGCGGTTCACTGTTAATATCACAGATAGAAGGAGCTTAGTTACCAGTATCTTTGTTAATATGGCTTGTTCAAAAAAGGGAAAAGTTGACTCTGAAAACCGTATATTCAAAGACGAGTGGATGGAACAGTAATTATTCATTCTCCCCATAACTAGCACAAAACCAATGTGCCTGATATGCAGTGAGTCTGTAGCTCTCGTGAAAAGTGCCCATGTTAAGCTCCATTATGACACGAGGCATAGTAAATTCGATCAGACGTATCCCCTAAACACAGAGGTGAGAACAAACAAGATTAACCAACTCAAATCCCAATATGAGAGGTCTACCAAAGTCCTTGCCAATTCCCCGACAGCCCATCAACGTTCAATGGAGTGTTCACTGAGGATAGCTTGGGTTTTGGGAAAACACAAAAAACTATTTTCAGACACTGAGATGGTAAATTAATACATGTGTGAAGTTGCTGACACCTCGCTTGAAGGTAAACAAAAAGATGAGCTCAGGGAAAGATCAAACTGATCCCACTGTCAGATTCCACAGCAATGAGGAGAACTGAAATATTAGCTGAAGATTTAACTTCACAACTTGATGAGGCCATTCATAATGCACCGTGCATTTCATTAGCTGTGGCTGAATCAACAGATAACACTGACAATGCTCAGCTTCTGGTGTTTGTCAGATTTTATAACGAAACAAAGAAGGAATTCTGTGAGGAGCTGTTGGGCTTAACAAATCTAGAAGCACACACACGGGGAGAGGATATCCATGAGGCCATCAAAGGGATTCTGACAAAAAGGGGGATGGATCTGAAGTCAGTGGTCTCCATCACCACAGATGGAGGTCCAGCCATGATAGGAAGAGGGAGGGGACTGGTTGCACAATTGAAAGAGGACCACCCTGACCTGACATCATATCACTGCATCATCCATCAATCTGTCCTGTGTGCCAGTCTGGGAAAAGACATATTCTGAGGTCATGACAACGATGATGAAACTGATCAGCTTTTTGAGGGCAACATCATCCCTACAACACCGCCTGCTACAAGACACTCTGACAGAGGCCAATACCAGTTTTGATGACTTACTACTGCACAACAATGTCAGATGGATCAGCAAAGGCAGGGTTTTGGAATGCTTTTGGGCCATTCAGGAAGAAATCAAAGCATTCTTATCAGAGCAAAAGAGTGACAAAGCAACTCAGTTTTCAGAGTTTTTGGAAGATGAGGAGAAGATGGAAACAGTTACATTTTTTACAGACTTTACATCACACCTTAATCAACTGAATGTTAAGCTGCAGGGACAGGACAACACAGTGTGTGATATGATAACAGCAGTCCGGGCTTTCCAGAATAAATGTGAGCTTTTCAAGAATGATCTCCAGGGAGAACTTGTCCACTTCTCCAATCTTCTGGTGCAAACGCAGGGAGACAAAGATGTTCCCAACCATGTTGATTTAATCCAGAAGCTTATGGATAACTTCAAGGCTCGCTTTGATGACTTCACTGTTGGAAGAAAACTGCTGCTGCTCATCCAGAACCCCTTCTTGGTCACAAATGTGACAAAGTTGTCAGAAGAAGCAAAACAGATCTTCAGATGGGTATATGTTGCATCACTGCACATGGAGTTGATTGAGCTGCAAGAAAATGTGACTTTGAAGGAGCAGGCTGGTGATTGTGACCCTGTCACTTTCTGGGGAAAGATGGTGCCTGCAGCTGATGTCCCTGTTCTCAAGAAACTGGCTCTATACATCCTGACCATGTTTGGCTCCACATACAGCTGTGAATCAGCCTTCTCCACAATGAACTTGATTAAAAACAAATACTGCACCAGGCTCACCAATGAACACCTGCACCAGTGTCTCAGAGTTGCTCTCACACCATTTGTGCCAAAGTTCAAAGCATTGGCAGGAGACAGAAAGTGTAATTTCTCTCATTGATGCAAGGGCAAGGCCCAGAGTGACTTATACATGAATATTGCATGGCCCACAGTGACGTTCTGTGTATTCAGATTATAATTTTTATTCAACTCTCCTTTGTTCTCCAGAAAACATGCACTTTATTTAATTTAAAAATATATATATTTATTCAAGGCCGATATACAATGGTTCACAGTGCACTTTTTGCATAGACAATTACACAACAACTTTTGTTCTTCAGCAATGTTGATGCATTGTTGCACATGTTTACATTCGAAAGAAGTTGTAATTAATTCAAATTCTTAGTCTCATTTAATGTATTTAATGTACATTTTATATAACACCATGTTTCCTAAGTCGTAGACGACTATGTTTGTTACTACGCTGTACCACAGCGCCAATAAAGGACAATAACTATCCAGACCTTTGCCACCTAGGAAATTGTGTCACTGGACCTTCTCAAATAGTAGTTGAGTACTACTGGTCTAGAACTCCCCCAGTGCAGACAGAAATTCATTCCACTGCCTGTTTTGAGGAAAAGCACCATGCTAGCCGAATTGGTGGATAAACTGAAGAAGACAGGACTATAAACGGCTCCTCTTGTTCACTGTTATGTTGGACCTGGAGATGTGGTGTATGACGTCTGCAATGGGAGAAAACTCAAAGCCGTCAAGTCCTGTTTGGTGTGTCTGGCCTCTTACTGTGAGACTCACCTAACTATGAATCTCCTGCTTTTAAGAAGCACAAGCTGGTCAAAGCCTCCACACAACTACAGGAAAATATCTGCTCTCGTCATGACAAGCCGCTGGAGATTTACTCCCATACTGCAGTGTATCTGTCTGCTGTGTCTGATGGATGAACATAAAGGTCATGAAAGGCAGCTGCATTAGAGACTGTCAGAATCTGTTGGATCTGAAACAGATGACGTACCAGCAGATGATCCATGAGAGGGAAAGGGAGCTGCGAGACATGAAACTGGGTGTGTTCCACATCACATGCTCTTCACATGAAGCAGTGGAGAACAATGAGAGGATCTTTGCTGAGATGATCTGCTTCATTGAGAGAGAGTGCTCTGAGGTGAAGGAGCTGACCAGAGCCCAGGAGAGGGCAGTAGTGAATGAGGCTGAAGGACTCCCGGAGCGACTGAAGCAAGAGGTTGGTGAGCTGAGGAAAGATGCCGAGCTGGAGCAGCTCTCACTCACAGAGGATCACATCCACTTTCTCCAGAGTGTCCAGTCTCTCGGTTCTGTGCTGGACCCCAAGGTTGTACCTAGCACTTCCTGTTGCCAACTTCTCTGGTTTGTTTTGGTACTGTCCATTTGTAGCTTGTTTTTGGACACAGGTCCAGGAATGGCTAAAGGATTGCAATATTTACCTGGAGCTAACCTTGCAGATAGCATTACTGGGTGATCTGAAAAGTCATAGTCAATCGATCAATAATATAATAATACTTTTAGCAAAAAAATATATTTTCAATTCACAATCTGTAGAAACAATGAGAATAGAAAGGTTCAGAACTTTTGTAAGACATCACAGTACAGTTGAAATATATATGGCAAATAGAAATCCTATATGGATGGTGTTAAGAGATAGATGGGAGGTGTTGAATGGAATTGAAGGATGGGACTAATAACAACTAACAACAAATTATAACAAGATAACTAATAACGTAACCATACTGTGTCCATAATAAGTATATAGGTTGTAGGTTGGGAGATTTTGTGAAAGAGCACAGTTAGAAAGATATGGTGTCAGACTGGGGTGATGTGTATGTGGCAGTGAAGTCAGGCGCAGGACACAGAGGTTCAGGAATGACTACTTTACTTCCAGTAATACGCACAAAACAAAAGTCTCCAACACTAGAGGAGTAACACGCGGAGTGCGTAAATAACGAGCTAGCAATGCCGAACATACGACAGGACAAAAGGACAATAACACACAAAGGCAAACATAAAACAAGGGAACTTATATGTTACATAATCAATACAAAATAAGAAACAGGTGTACAAACTAGACAACACAAGACAAACACCGAAACATCGATCGGCAGTAGCTAGTACTCCGGGGACGACGAACGCCGAAGCCTGCCCGAGCAAGGAGGAGGAGCAGCCTCGGCAGCATCCGTGACATATGGCATATAGAAGCAAACCGGATGGACATCATGAAAATGATCGGAGAGGTTGAGAGTAGAAGAAGTTCAAGAGAAAAAACAAACAAAATATAATTATTGTAAAATTGACTGTGTCCATAAAATGTAGATAGTAAGTATAAGCTGGAAGTAGAGGCCTAAGCATTGTTGTTCACTAGTTTACTCCAAGTAGGGAAAGGGTGGCGGGGTTGGAAAGTAATGAAGGGGAATATATCTTTTTTAAAGGATATGTATGTGTATGTATGTATGTATGTATGTGTGTATGTATGTGTGTGTGTATGTGTGTATATATGTATATATACTGTATATATATATATATATATAAAAAACATGGGGGATTGGAAGTGATGCAGACAATTACATTGATGGAAGTTACAATCTATCTGCAATATTAAGCTGATCTACCCCCAGAAAATAACAAATAACAAAAATAAAAAAACATATCTGGTTCGAGGATGTGACGAAGAGAGTGTCTGAGCTGAAGGAGAGACTGGAGCAAATCTGTCAGGAAGAGGTGGAGAAGATATCTTCTAAACCCCTGCTTGCCCCCCTGCACAGCCCCTAGCCCAGCTCCAACCTCAGGAGAGCATCCTGCTTGACCCACACTACCCTGAGCCCTTGGGTCTTGACTCTGTGGATGTAAGTATGGGCAGCGATCAGTTCGAGCATCTGGAGGTGACTCTGTATAAGTCAGATACAGACACCTGCGTTGAATTTAGAATCTATAGTGAACAACTCACCAGCCCATGGGTGTCTGCAAGTAGGGGATGAGGTGATGACTGTGAACAATGTGCCAGTGGGTTATTATGATTTGTTTGAGCTCCAAGATGAGATTGAAAGGGCTGATCATTATGGTCTGCTGACCCTGACCGTGTGGAGAAAGGACTAGATAGCATGTCCTGCTGTAGTCTGGTCTCCACCTGGTCTCGCTCTATACTCTGACCCCTTTGACTGTGTGCGTACGCCTGCTCAGTGCACTTTGCAAGGTGGTAGAGTGGAACAAGGGCTCAGATATGACAGATAATAATTTATTAACTTTATTTTTTATTTTTTAAGTTTTATAATTCAATGAAGTTAAATTTATCTACTTCCCCAGAGTCAGATTAACTTGTGGATAGCATTTTTATGTCTCTGTGTCCAGTATGAAGGAAGTTAGAGGTAGTTTCGTGAGCCAATGCTAACTAGTGTTAGCGCAATGACTGCATGCTATTAGATACCCATAGACTTCCAGTCATTGCGCTAACAGGCCTGATAGAAACAACAAATATGTCGGTAAACTTTCCAAATGTTGACAAACTAAATACGCTACGCAAGGTGGGATCTTTTTGTGTCGGTAAAATTAATTATGTGAGAAATGGCGGCTGAAACGCTTTTATGCGCAAATATTGATATAATAACTATCATATTGAAGTAAACTTAGTCACGCGATGACGTGTTGTGTGGTCCTTCCACTACGACTCGGGAAAGCATGCAGTTTATTAGGCTACCGCTGAAATAAATGATGAACTTCACAAGGTGGTGAAAATGAAGTGATGAGCTTGATGCTCCTTTCCAATAAATATCAACGGTTTTATCCTGGTGACATGATGAACGACGCTTGGCTACCATTGGACAAATAAAAATAATCTTGCTCTTTTGTCCATAATAATCTCATAATGTAGGCTATACCCACACTGTATCTGCGAGCTGTTGGCTATGGCGCACCTGCCAATACAAGAGTGGGCACATTCGCTATATAACGCAATTTTTTTTGTGACAAATCCATCAGTAGAGTTGAAAATTCTATTTTTTATCCGGTACATAGGAATTTAACCCGCAAAAGTTATTTTTATGTGCACTATGTCATCACGCACAGCCTTTTATCCGCAACAAGTCAATTTGATGTGAACACATCTCTGGTGGGAAAATCTGCATATTGTTTTTATGCAGATTTTAGAATATTTGCATGAAAATTTGTCACCAATTGGATGGAAACCTATCTACAGAGACATAAAAATTGTATCCACTAGTTCATCTGACTCTGGGGAAGTAGACAAAGGGCCTCATTGCCAAAATCGGGAAGTATCCCTTTAATGTAGGCTGACTAATGATGTTTGTTACTATTAATAATCATGAAATGTAACTTTTGAATGTTGTTTAATTTAGCTTCCACATAGATATCATATACACTGCTCAAAAAAATAAAGGGAACACTTAAACAACACAATGTAACTCCAAGTCAATCACACTTCTGTGAAATCAAACTGTCCACTTAGGAAGCAACACTGATTGACAATAGATTCCACATGCTGTTGTGCAAATGGAATAGACAACAGGTGGAAATTATAGGCAATTAGCAAGACACCCCCAATAAAGGACTGGTTTTGCAGGTGGTGACCACAGACCACTTCTCAGTTCCTATGCTTCCTGGCTGATGTTTTGGTCACTTTTGAATGCTGGCAGTGCTTTCACTCTAGTGGTAGCATGAGACGGAGTCTACAACCCACACAAGTGGCTCAGGTAGTGCAGCTCATTCAGGATGGCACATCAATGCGAGCTGTGGCAAGAAGGTTTGCTGTGTCTGTCAGCGTAGTGTCCAGAGCATGGAGGCGCTACCAGGAGACAGGCCAGTACATCAGGAGACGTGGAGGAGGCCGTAGGAGGGCAACAACCAAGTAGCAGTACTGTTACCTCCGCCTTTGTGCAAGGAGGAGCAGGAGGAGCACTGCCAGCAATGACCTCAAACAAAATTTAGAAAAAAGACTCCATGAGGGGGGGTTTCGGGCCCCCCGGGGCGTCCCTGGGGGGCCCCCCCCGTCGGCGTTCTTTGGGAACCCCCCCGTTTCCAATTTTCCCCGGGGGGTCCCAGTTGGGGTCCCCTTTTTCCGGTTTTAAAGCCCCCCTTTCCCCCCCCCCAACCCGGGGGCCCCAAAGGGCCAAAAAACAGATCTAAACCCCATAAAAACCCCCCGAAATCCCCCACCCGACCCCCCCTTTCCCCGGGGGGGGTTTGTGGTTTTGGGGGTTTTTTCCCCCCGGGGGGGGCCCAAAACCCTTTTAGGGGGGCTTTTTCCCGGGGGGGGCCGCCCGGGTTGGCCCAAATTTTTACCGGGGAAACTCTCCCCTTTTCCCCTTCCCTTTCCTGGGTTTCCGAAAATTTTAAAAACAAGGGAGGTTTAATTTGGGGAAGTGCGGAAAATTTTTGAAAGATGGGGAAGGCCTTGGGGTTTTTGGGGGCCCCTGCAAAATGACCTCCAGCAGGCCACAAATGTGCATGTGTCTGCTCAAACGGTCAGAAACAGACTCCATGAGGGTGGTATGAGGGCCCGACGTCCACAGGTGGGGGTTGTGCTTACAGCCCAACACCGTGCAGGACGTTTGGCATTTGCCAGAGAACACCAAGATTGGCAAATTTGCCACTGGCGCCCTGTGCTCTTCACAGATGAAAGCAGGTTCACACTGAGCACATGTGACAGACGTGACAGAGTCTGGAGACGCCGTGGAGAACGTTCTGCTGCCTGCAACATCCTCCAGCATGACCGGTTTGGCGGTGGGTCAGTCATGGTGTGGGGTGGCATTTCTTTGGGGGGCCGCACAGCCCTCCATGTGCTCGCCAGAGGTAGCCTGACTGCCATTAGGTACCGAGATGAAATCCTCAGACCCCTTGTGCTGGTGCGGTTGGCCCTGGGTTCCTCCTAATGCAAGACAATGCTAGACCTCATGTGGCTGGAGTGTGTCAGCAGTTCCTGCAAGAGGAAGGCATTGATGCTATGGACTGGCCCGCCCGTTCCCCAGACCTGAATCCAATTGAGCACATCTGGGACATCATGTCTCGCTCCATCCACCAACGCCACGTTGCACCACAGACTGTCCAGGAGTTGGCGGATGCTTTAGTCCAGGTCTGGGAGGAGATCCCTCAGGAGACCATCCGCCACCTCATCAGGAGCATGCCCAGGCGTTGTAGGGAGGTCATACAGGCACGTGGAGGCCACAGACACTACTGAGCCTCATTTTGACTTGTTTTAAGTACATTACATCAAAGTTGGATTAGCCTGTAGTGTGGTTTTCCACTTTAATTTTGAGGGTGACTCCAAATCCAGACCTACATGGGTTGATAAATTTGATTTCCATTGATCATTTTTGTGTGATTTTGTTGTCAGCACATTCAACTATGTAAAGAAAAAAGTATTTAATAAGATTATTTCATTCATTCAGATCTAGCATGTGTTATTTTAGTGTTCCCTTAATTTTTTTGAGCAGTGTATAATTTGTAAAGACTAAGCAGCGCAGTAAAACAAATAACATGTCATATTTAACATGTGAATGGTGTTAAAAGGGTGTTATAATAATCAGTTTATAACAATCAAATTCACAATGTTTAAGTATGATTCTTAGTATGATTATATATATTTTTTAAATACAATACACTTTTTAAATCATTTTAATTCAGTCATAATCCAAATAAGCAAATGATAGACAGCAGTTGAAACTACATAAAAACACTCAAATTCAAAGTTTTAAATGTACTAGAAAGTGCTGGAAACAGATTCCTAATAGAAAATAACTAATTCAACAATGTGCAGTACTGATGCTGTCACGCTCTGGCTCCGGGACTGTGTAGTTTGAGCCAGGGTGTATTCATTTGGTTGTGTTGGGTATAGGGTGTGTTCATTTGGTTGTGTTTGGTTTTGGTTGTAGGGTCTTGTCTCGTCAGGTGACTCCCAATCGGAGGTAACGAGTGTCAGCTGTCGGCTCGTTATCTCTGATTGGGAGCCATATTTAAACTGTCAATGTTCACCTTAGGGTTGTGGGTTTTTGTTCCATGTTTCAGTCTGTGTACTGAGGACTTCACTATCCGTCATTGTTTATTGTTTTCTCGTTCGTGCACTTTAACTTTAATAAAGTCATGTTCGCTACAAACGCTGCGCTTTGGTCCACTCCTTCCGTAGACGGCCGTGACAGAAAAACCCACCTAAAAAGGACCAAGCAGCGTGTCCAGGAGCAAGGAGACTGGACATGGGAGGAAGCGCCGGGTAAGGAGATCGAGAGGCTGGCGATGGCCCAGGTGGGCAAATCGTGGTCCTGGGAGGACATGCTCGGGGGCAAGGGACCTTGGGGGAGGATCAAGGCCCTGGCGAGAGAGGAGCAACGGCGTCAGCAGGGCCATCGTCGGAAGGACGAGAGGCAACCCCAAAAAGTTTTTTGGGGGGGGCACATGGCTTGGGCGGCTGGGCAGCAGGAGGCTGCCACAGGGAGACGTGGAGAGAAGGCTACCGGATTACGGGAGCCATTGGCGAGTAGAGGGAGGGAAGTAGTGGAGGCACGGCGTGAGAGACTGAGGTGTGTTACCAGTCCGGTCCGGCCCATTCCTGATCCCCGGTTAAGGCCAGTGGTGTGTGTTCCCAGTATGGACCGGCCTGTTCCTGCTCCACGTACCAGACCTACGGTGTGCGTCGCCAGCCCAGCCCGGCCTGTTCCTGCTCCACGCACTAAACCTACGGTGTGCGTCGCCAGCCCAGCCCGGCCTGTTCCTGCTCCACGCACTAAACCTACGGTGTGCGTCGCCAGCCCAGCCCGGCCTGTTCCTGCTCCACGCACTAAACCTACGGTGTGCGTCGCCAGCCCAGCCCGGCCTGTTCCTGCTCCACGCACTAAACCTACGGTGTGCGTCGCCAGCCCAGCCCGGCCTGTTCCTGCTCCACGCACTAAACCTACGGTGTGCGTCGCCAGCCCAGCCCGGCCTGTTCCTGCTCCACGCACTAAACCTACGGTGTGCGTCGCCAGCCCAGCCCGGCCTGTTCCTGCTCCACGCACTAAACCTACGGTGTGCGTCGCCAGCCCAGCCCGGCCTGTTCCTGCTCCACGCACTAAACCTACGGTGTGCGTCGCCAGCCCAGCCCGGCCTGTTCCTGCCACCCGCACCAAGTCTACGGTGCGCGTCGCCAGCCCGACCCGGCCTGTTCCTGCCACTCGCACCAAACCTACGGTGCGCGTCGCCAGCCCGGTCCGGCCTGTTCCTGCCACCCGCACCAAGTGTACGGTGTGCGTCGCCAGCCCGACCCGGCCTGTTCCTGCCACTCGCACCAAACTTACGGTGCGCGTCGCCAGCCCGGTCCGGCCTGTTCCTGCCACTCGCACCAAGCCAAGGGTGCGAGTCGTCAGCCTGGTCCAGCCCGTTCCTGCTACTCGCACCAAGCCAGGGGTACGAGTCGTCGGCCTGGTCCAGCCCGTTCCTGCTACTCGCACCAAGCCAAGGGTGCGAGTCGTCAGCCTGGTTCAGCTCGTCCCTGCTACTCGCACCAAGCCAGGGATGCGAGTCTTCAGCCTGGTGAGGCCTGTTCCGGCTCCACGCACCAGGCAAAGGGTGCGTATCGTCTGCCAGTTCCGGTCCATTCCTACCTCACGCGCCAAGCCAGGGGTGCGCGTCGGAGGTCCGGATCCAGCAAGCTGGGTCAGATCGGACCGGGGGCACTACGGGGGGAGTGAAGTGGGGTGGTGGTCAAGCCCGGAGCCGGAGCCGCCTCCGAGGAGCAACACCCACCCAGCCCTCCCCTATTTTGGGGTGTAGGCGCGGTCGGAGTCCGCGCCTTTAGGGGGGGGTACTGTCACGCTCTGGCTCCGGGACTGTGTAGTTTGAGCCAGGGTGTATTCATTTGGTTGTGTTGGGTATAGGGTGTGTTCATTTGGTTGTGTTTGGTTTTGGTTGTAGGGTCTTGTCTCGTCAGGTGACTCCCAATCGGAGGTAACGAGTGTCAGCTGTCGGCTCGTTATCTCTGATTGGGAGCCATATTTAAACTGTCAATGTTCACCTTAGGGTTGTGGGTTTTTGTTCCATGTTTCAGTCTGTGTACTGAGGACTTCACTATCCGTCATTGTTTATTGTTTTCTCGTTCGTGCACTTTAACTTTAATAAAGTCATGTTCGCTACAAACGCTGCGCTTTGGTCCACTCCTTCCGTAGACGGCCGTGACAGATGCTTGTTTGCATATAAATTATAATTGTATACATTTATCCATATACATGTATTTTTATGTATAGTTTATCATTACATGTTTTTTTTATGTAAAGGGCAAAAGTGACAATGCGGAATACAAGCAAAGTGAACATGGACACAGACAGTATGACAGTGATGAACACCATGGCTTCACTACGTGCTGGCAGGCCATCATCTATTTGATTGTGGTCCTTGACTGAAATAAAGAACATACAAAAAATATGTATCAGGTTTTGTTTACTTAAAAGAGTCAGAAACCTGTGTGTGATGGTGGTATATATAGACGTCATTAGAGGTTAGTAGGACATAGAAAGACAATGGGTACTACGGTCATCAAATACCTTGCCTTTTAGAGTCCTCCTGAATGTTGCTCTTCTCTGCTCCTACCACATACTGAAGCCAGGAAATAAATAGAACAGCAATTTGATTGTGGTCAATTGTCAAAAATATATGTAAAAGAAAAATACAGTAGCTCAAGCTACCAGTATGTTGACCCAGTGGTGAGATTTGTCAGTACAGTAGCCCAGTTTTCTGCTGACAGTGAACTGGCCATATTCTCAACGGTTGAGATGACGTTCCTTCTGAGCCGACATGGGGGCACATTGAATATATTGGCCAAAGTTTCTGTGGAATGAGACGTTCATAGCCCAGTACTATAAATATTACTAATGACCACAATAAAAACAATTACATCACTGGTTTAGTATATTTCAATTGACCATGGTTAACAATTGTCTAGTCAGAATAACATCTACAGAGTTAATAGTTCTAGAAATTGAATGGAACGTTATGCAAGACTGTCACACCAGCCTTAGCTTTGGCTCCCCCTCCTGTCCAGCTCAGGCGTTCGGCATCGCTGGCCTTCAACTGCTGCCTAACCTGCTGCTGGCAAACACCCTTCACTCATCAACCCTTGAATCCCCACTCTATCACTGTATATATACTCCCTCTGTCATTTGTCTTTGTTGGTCATTGTATATGTTGCTTGTTTTCCTGATAGGAATCGCGCCTACTATTTCCTGAGTACTTTATATTTTGCACTGTGGGTTTCGTCCCGCTTTAAGCGATGGTGCTTTAATAAATTCAGTCATTCTAAACCTGCGACTGCCTACTCCTCTCTACACTTGTGACAAAGAGTCCTCCCATAGTCATATTGACTACAAAACAAAAGGCCAAATCAAACACTCAATGCTCTCGTTGGTGTCAGGGCTGTACTCCAAAGTCACACTCTGTGTTGCCAAAACACATGGAGGCCGACTCAAAAGTAGAGTCTGCCAACCTGCCTGTTACAACTCCTTCTGACTCTTTCAGAAGACTCACTTGGAATTCTGGAGTAAAGTAACAGTTTGAAGAAGGATTAACCACACATTATGAATCATCAGCAATATTTGTATTTATTTATTAAACCTACAAGCTTTGGGGTCCCTCTGGTGGTCGGGCCCCCCAGATAGCATATGAACACTTCATAAGCCATGAAAAAAAAAGTTTTGAATTACAGGAAAATGGCTTTAAAACTGCAACATTTGGAGCAGCAATTTGATTGTGGTCAAAAATCTTGAAGGAAAAAAAAGATAAGTGCAGGACATTGGAAATGTAAAGGAAAAATAGATCTACCTACCTGTACGTTGACCCAGTGGTGAGAGGCACGGAACTGTGCTACACCACGTTAATATGAAATATGTAACATTACAGTAAATGGGTCAATAGGTAAAAAACATACTGTAGTTAGAGTATTTCCACTACAGATGACATTTTAAAAAAAAAAAGCCATTTAGCAGACGCTTTTATCCAAAGCGACTTACAGTCATGCGTGCATACATTTGTGTGTATGGGGTGGTCCCGGGGATCGAACCCACTACCTTGGCGTTACAAGCGCCGTGCTCTACCAGTTAACAAGCTCTTATTTAGCTCTTATTTAATGTGGGGGAAATTATTACACTGCTCTGAAAACTATTCCTAACTATTCCTTAGATATTTACCTATTAGAAACTATTTGAATATCAATCTCACAAAAATGCTAATTAATTGTGATGGTTATTCTAATGGTAGACATTTTGAAGAACCAGAAGAAAAAATGATCAAGGTGGCAACCTCGCACATGTGATATCATTGAAAATCCCAGAATGTCCTCTCAAAGGTACAGCAGGACCTAACACAGTGGCAGACATATCACAGTGGCATGTATGGCCTTAGAGATACGGACCAAAAACAAATGTCCATTAGAGAGGACAAAAATTAGTTGCTGGGTCTCAGGAGGTGAAGATAGGCTTATGAGGATATGTTCGATCAAATTCTGACACCAATGTGCCTTTGTGTGTATCAATTTTAAATATATTCAATATTATAGACATTTAAATTTGTTTCATAGATCAAAAACATACCACACCTGCATTTGAGAGGGTGAAAAGCAGTCCAAGGGAGATGAACATTGTCCTCATTGTTTTTGATAGTTATCAATTTATATAATATAGCCAATTTTGACTTTGTGGCTGTGGTAACTAGTGGAAATGCTCATTTTATGCTTTACTGACTGTAGCTCCAGATTGGATTAGATTCAGGCCGGTGATGCCATTAGGGGTTTGTTGCTTCTAGTTCACTATATAAGTCAGACTCAGACATGAGTTAGCTACCACCATAGCTGCATCCGTTATTTAGTTTTGCCCTAGACAATACAGAATACGCTTGTATAAGCTACGAACTAACTTGCAAAGCCGACTTGTAGGCTAATGTTAGCTAGCCTGTAGCTAGCTAGCATGCCTCGCTACTATTATAAAATGATATTGATACATATTACATAACCAGCAGTATCTAGACAATACACAATAAACTTGTATGAGCTACGACTTAAGTTGTAATGAGCTAGGTAGCTAGCTATGCTAATGTTAGCTAAAACATTAGCTAGCCTGTCTCACTAGCTAACGTTAGCTAGCCTGCCACACTTTATGAAAAGATAGCTACCTACATAGCCAGCAATAACCTTATCTAACATCGTTAGCTAAGTTATACCAGAGAGGTCATTATATTCCAGTAGCTCTGCTTATACCCACCACCACTAGCGTTACTGGTGCAGACTTGGGGGCCAACGAACTCCAAGCACCTATTCCGCATACTAGCTAGGGTTCTTCGGCAGGGCATGCAAACTATAGAACGTTGACTGTGGAGGCATGGTCAATCCATATAGGGCCCATTATCCTTTGAACGAGTTGGGGGTGATGAAACAACGGAGCATTCAATGAAGGGAAGTGGAGAGGCGATTTGCACGTGGAGCTTGGCAAATGGGGGTATGATTTGACATAATTGCAATCCAAACCCAACCTTCATTTACTCATTGTAATAATAATAATAATAATAATATGCCATTTAGCAGACGCTTTTATCCAAAGCGACTTACAGTCATGCGTGCATACATTTTTTTGTGTATGGGTGGTCCCGGGGATCGAACCCACTACCTTGGCGTTTCAAGCGCCGTGCTCTACCAGCTGAGCTACAGAGGACGCACTGATGTTCCAAACTCCGTTTTAGATGAGACTGACTTTATAACCCAAATTATCCTATTTTACACTTTGTAGTCAATTTTGACTCCAGAATAAATGTTTCTGATTCATATCGATGCCACATTGGCTGTTTTCAAAGGGATTAGTTGCTTTTTAGGGCCAACTAATCTGATTGGCCACTCTCTGATTGGCCACTCTTTAAACACAACATACAGGCAGTTATGTACGGTTCAATATTGTAATGACCTGACTAGATCATAACAGAACAACTGTCCAGACAGAGGATTGAGTTTACGAATGGACGGTTTATTAAACCAACTTTACACAGGCTACTGTTTGGCCGTAGCCCATTCCAAATAAATGAAAGATAACCCACAAACCAATCGTGACCTTCTCTTGTGAAGCCCAGAAGTAAAAAAAGAGGGAGAACAAAAGCTAAACCTGGTCTTAACTTCCAATGCTCCATCCCCCTGCCCAACCCCCCTCCACGCCACTCCGCCAACCGCCAGGATGCCCGGCATCAGAACATTGCAGGCATTCCCGTGATTGGCAGATAGCAGGTTGATTGACATGTCGGACCCCGCGAACACTGGGTACTGGTAGGTACAACACAACCATCTACTAGCCTAACACATAACACACAGCTGTCTGTGCGGGTCGCTACACAGCCCCCCCACCACAAAGTCCCTCGTCCCCGAGGGAACAAACAAAGTCTCTGAAGCGACCCGGAGGTCTCCTTTGCCTGCGTGGCTGTGATGGCCGCAGAGTGCCCCTCTGGGAACCAGGGGATGAAGGCAAGGACATGGGAGACAAGGAAGCGGGAACGGGTAATACAGTCCGTGGCTCTGGGGAACCACGCGGTGACACAGGGGGAGTGGGCTGTCTGGAGCCTTGTCTGCGGCACCTGGGGGTGGGTGCCTGGAGAATGTCATTGCCAGAGAGGGGAATTGTGGGGGTTCCTGGGGTTTGGGGAGAAGAGGCCCCTCTATATGGGGCTAACCTGTCCCGGTGCAGTGTCACCTTTCTCCCCCTGGGAGGAAGCTGCACCCGGTAAACAACCTCCCCTACCCTCTCCAGGACACTGCAGGGTCCCACCCAGTGACTGTCCAACTTGGGGCATCTGCCTTTTTTCCTTAGCGGGCTGTAGACCCAGACCAGCTCCCCAGCCACAAAGTGCCTTCCCCGGGTGTGCACGTCATAGTTCCTCTTCTGCCTCACACCTGCATTCAGCAGCTGCTCTCTGGCGAAGGTGTGGGCTGTCTCCAGGCGGTCCTGGAGTCTCCGGGCATACTCCGGCCCCGGGGAAACATGAGGGCTATCCAGGGGCCGACCAAACGCCATCTCCGCAGGGGTACGGATCTCTCTCCCCAGCATGAGGAGGGCAGGCGTGCAGGAGGTGGAGTCTTGGACAGCGGAGCGGCATGCCATGAGGACCATAGGCAGGTGCTTGTCCCAGTCACGCTGGTGTTTGGAAGAGACGATGGCCAGCTGCTGTCCAAGCGTTTTGTTGAAGCGCTCCACAAGGCCATCAATTGGAGAGGAGTAGTGCGGGTCTTGTGGAGAGGAGTAGTGCGGGTCTTGTGCATACCCAGCCTCTCACACATGGTGGCGAACACACGGGACTCAAAGTTTCTGCCTTGGTCGCTGTGGATGGACTCTGCAGCTCCAAACCTGCTGAACATCCCTGCTGTCAGGGCGTCGACGATGGTCTCTGCCTCCTGGTCAGGCAGAGCATAGGCCTCGTGCCATTTTGTGAAATAGTCCATGGCCGTGAGCACCCAGCGGTTTCCACTGTCTGTGGTGGGGAACGGCCCAACTACATCCACTCCCACCCTCTCCATGGGAGCCCCCACTGGGAACTGTTGGAGCTGAGCATGAGAGCGGCCTGGGGGGCCCTTTCTCGCTGTGCAGTTGTCACAGCGGCGGCAAAAGTCTTCCACATCCCTCTTGTGCTGCCCCCAGTAAAAGCCCTGACGGAGGCGGCGCAGTGTTTTTGTGACCCCAAAGTGTCCAGTCCCCACCCCCCCATGAGTACTCTGGAGCACAGCCTCCCGCAATGCTTTTGGGACCACCACCTGCCACCTCTCCTCCCCCGTAACTGACTCCTTCCATGCCCGCTGTAACACGCCATCAGCCAGCCGCAGTCGCTCAAACTTTGACCACAACCCTTTGGTCGCGAGTGAGAGCGCTGTCACCTCTCCCCATGGTGGCCTCACCTGCGCCTCTACCCACTGTAGCACTGGCTGTAGGTCTGTGTCCCGTCCCTGCTGCTGCCCCCATTCAGCCACGTCGACAGTCTGCAGCTCACAGCAGACAGGCCCGCTCGCCCGACACACTGTGGCACAGACCCCCTCCTCTGCACACAGCTCTCTCTCCCGTCCCTCTCTCCGTTCACAGTGGCGGCAGCCGTCTGCAGTACAGGGCCGACGGGACATGGCGTCGGCGTTGGAGTGGCGTGCCCCTGCCCTGTGCACCACCGTGAAGTCATACGGCTGAAGCTCCTCCAACCAGCGTGCCACCTGCCCCTCTGGCTCTCTGAAAGACATGAGCCACTGGAGAGCAGAGTGGTCAGTCCTTACAGTAAAGGGCAGACCACCCAGGTAGTACTTGAAGTGTTTGACGGAAGCCACAACAGCCAAGAGCTCCCGCTGGGTGACACAGTAGCGGCGCTCATGTTTGTCAAATGTTTTGCTGAAGTACGCCACCGCTCTCTCCCCCTCTGGCCCCACCTGGGCCAGCACCCCACCCATGCCCACATTGCTCGCGTCTGTGTCTAGGATAAAGGGCAATGTGAGGTCAGGGGGGGGCGAGCACGGGGGCCTCGATCAGTGCACGTTTGAGGGTGTTGAACGCCTCCTCACACTCCACTGTCCAAGTGAAAGCCTTGTCCTTCGGCAGCAGGCGGTTCAGTGGAGCAGCAACGCTTGAGAAGCCCCGTACAAACCTCCTGTAGTACGAGGCCAGGCCCAGGAAGCTCTTCAGCTGACGCTGGTCAGTGGGGGTGGGCCAGTCTCTGACAGCCGCTACCTTGTCCTCCATGGTGCTGATCCCCTCCTTCCCCACTCGGTGGCCCAAGAAGGACACCTCTCTCCTCATGAAGTGGCACTTCTCGGGGTGGAGCTTCAGACCTGCGGCAGCCACCCTCTCCAGCACACACCGTAGCGCCCCCAGGGCTGACTGGAAGGAGCTGCCATGGGCCAGGATGTCATCGAGGTATACCAGACACTGCTGTCGGGGGATGCCATCCAGCACCCTGTCCATCAAACGCTCAAAAGTAGCTGGAGCGTTGCACAGGCCAAAGCACAGGACCTTGAACTGCCAGTGTCCTCTGTTAGTGGAGAACGCAGTTTTGGCTCTGACCTCTGGGGAGAGGGGCACCTGCCAGTAGCCGCTGCGGAGGTCTAGTGAGGAGAACCAGGAGGACCCCCTAACCAGGTCCAGCGACTCATCGATACGTGGTATGGGGTATGAGTCCTTCCTGGTTACCTCATTCAGCCGCCTGTAGTCCGCACAGAACCTCAGCTTGCCCCCCTTCTTCGGAACCATGACGACTGGCGCCGCCCAGGGGCTGTCTGAGGGCTCAATGAAGTCTGCCCGCTGCATCTCCAACACAGCCTTGTCTGCCGCCTCCTGGCGTGCCAGCGGGATACGGCGGGGACGCATCTTGATAGGTCGAGCATCACCTGTGTCGATCTCATGCTGCACAAGATGAGTCTGACCCACCTCTTCCTCACTCAGCGCAAAGCTGTCTCTGAATTCAAACAGCAACTGCCTCAACCGTTCCTGCTGCTCGGGGTCAAGACCAACACAGTTCCTCCCCCATATCTCCCTCACTGCAGACAGTGTCCTCTCCCCTCCCATCTGGGGTAGCTGGGCTGGGGGGGCGCGGCCCGGGCTCACAGAGGACTGTGTCGTGGAGGTAGCTGGGGGAATGTAACGCAACGCCGTAGGTGACAGGGGGGCTGGGGAAAAGACACACCCAGATGTGGGGGAGGGGGGGCAGCCATGAGTCTCTGCTGCTTTAACTGTTGGAGTAAAGGGTTTGTTGGGTTGAGTGAATGTGACATTAGGGGACATGGTGACCTCCGGCCCTCCCTGGAAGCTCAGTGTGCCCCTATTTAGGTCTAACTGGCAGCCTGTGCTCCTAAGAAAGTCCAACCCCAGGATACAAGGGTCCTGCACAGCCGCCACCCACACAGGATGACGCACAGTCCTGCCCCCTACTGTCAGAGTCATTATTCCCTTCCCTTTCATGGGTGCCAGCTCACCTGTGACTGTGCGGAGCTGCACAGTTGTAGGCTCACACTGAGTCCAACCTGGCACAATATCTGGCCTCACCAGGGTTACTGTGGACCCAGTGTCCACCAGGGCGGAGCAGGGCACCCCCTCCACAGTGACAGGGACATGACAAAAGTCCCCAACACAGGTCCGGCCCACCACAACAACAGGCTCCATCCGCTTGCCCTCGTCTGCTTCTGGGGGAAGTGGAGCCTTGCTTCCCCGTCTGTGCCGGTGGGCTCCTCCTGAAGAAGATGGTGGTTGGGATAGAAAGCCAGGGGTCCGCACTACCCGGTCTATGCGGACTCCGAGACGTTTCCCTGAGCTCTGGGGGACATGGGGCAATCTCGGTGCAGATGGCCTGGCTGGCCACAACCCCAGCAGACCCTGGGACCAGGGCGTGTGTTTCGTGCCGCCTGTAGCGACACAGCACGAATGAGTTCTGTCATTTCAGCCACCCATGCAGGCTTTTCCGGCTCCGGGCTGCTCTGCCCCCCAGCTCGCACAGAGGGTCTGTCTCCCTGCACCCCCACCAAAGCCCCAGCTGAAGCCCCAGCCCACACCAGCTCCCTCTCCAAAGCCATCTCCAAGGCTACCTGCAATGACTCAGGATGAGCCAGCTGGGTCTGTATGCGCAGCTCCGTAGGAGAGAGCGCCTGTATGAACTGGTCCCGTGCTAGCTCGCTCTGCACGGAGGGGGGCATGTGAGCATATGCCCGCCGAGAGAGGCTCTCAATTACATTTGACATTTTAGTCATTTAGCAGACGCTCTTATCCAGAGCGACTTACAGTTAGTGAATACATTATTTTTATTTTTATTTTTTTTATACTGGCCCCCCGTGGGTATCAAACCCACAACCCGCAAACGCCATGCTCTATCAACTGAGCTACATCCCTGCCGGCCATTCCCTCCCCTACCCTGGACAACGCTGGGCCAATTGTGCGCCGCCCATGAGTCTCCCGGTCGCGGCCGGCTGCGACAGAGCCTGGATTCGAACCAGGATCTCTAGTGGCACAGTTGGCACTGCGATGCAGTGCTTTAGACCACTGCGCCACTCAGGAGACATAGCTAGCACCCGTAGAGTCATGACCACTCAATGTCATTAGCTAGCACCCGTAGAGGCTCACCAGGCTGCCTGCGTCTATTACTCAGTTCGGAGCGCAGTAGCCCGGGCTGTACACACTGTCCATAGCGCCTCCTCAGTGCTCCCACTAAAGCACCATAATCACGTCTGTCCTCGGGGCTAATCAATATCAAACAGGCCAGAGCTTCATCCGTGAGGCATAAAGCCAACTGCAGTGCCCTATCTTCATCCGACCACCCCCTAAAATGAGCTAACAGTTCAAACTGAGCATGAAAAGCTTCCCAATCCGCCTTACCGGAATACTTCGGGGTCTTAACGGATACGGACGCAGCCGGGAACTGGGCGCCGCCATGTTTGTTTACATCCTGAGACCCAGATTCCTCGTCCCGCCGCGTCGACGTCACCCCTTCGGTCCGCCCACCAGAATCCGCGCGAAACACAGTCGACGAAGCACTCATGCCCGCTTCAGCCGCCATCACTCTAACGTCCTCCCTCAAGCGGCCTCTGGGCTCCGATGCCCTGGCGATCTCCTCGTCCATGCACACGCACCTCCTTGGCCATAATCGTCCCCTACCTCCACCTTCACTTTCGGATTCCCTCGAAGCATCTTCAACCCCCGTTCTCACCTACGGTAGCTAGCCACAGAAGTCAGCTAGCTAGCTGGCTAACTTTTATCAACGTTTTTACTTCTGACACCAATGTAATGACCTGACTAGATCATAACAGAACAACTGTCCAGACAGAGGATTGAGTTTACGAATGGACGGTTTATTAAACCAACTTTACACAGGCTACTGTTTGGCCGTAGCCCATGCCAAATAAATGAAAGATAACCCACAAACCAATCGTGACCTTCTCTTGTGAAGCCCAGACGTAAAAAAAGAGGGAGAACAAAAGCTAAACCTGGTCTTAACTTCCAATGCTCCATCCCCCTGCCCAACCCCCCTCCACGCCACTCCGCCAACCGCCAGGATGCCCGGCATCAGAACATTCCAGGCATTCCCGTGATTGGCAGATAGCAGGTTAATTGACATGTCGGACCCCGCGAACACTGGGTACTGGTAGGTACAACACAACCATCTACTAGCCTAACACATAACACACAGCTGTCTGTGCGGGTCGCTACAATATGTATGTCCAATATGAAAAATGTACTGCATTTAAGCTGATTGGAAAGTGCTCCTGAGTAGAATTGAGGACCAAAAGCTAACAACTAGTATACATATAGATAATTGTGCATATTTTCTATAATTATTAATTTAGTATACAGGACAGGACTCTTATTCTGAAGGATTCCAAAAATCTGTGACCCGGCTTTGGATGGACAGTTGAAAAGCTTGCTGAGGAGAGTGGTCTGAGGGAGTTGGTGGTTGGCCCATCTGTGGTGATGGGGGATGTTCCTATGTGGTTACTCCCTGATCCTGTTGTTGAGCTAACCTTGGTTGAAAAAAGAAAAGATTGGTCAGAAGTTAGTGATATAAGGGAACTAGTTAACAATTTCATTGGTAGAAGCTTTTATTGTTTTTTACCATTTTTTACAAATGGCTCCAAGGACACAGATGGTGTTTGTACAGGAGCAGGAGTTTACATTTCTGGATTTGGTGTGGAGAAATGACGAAGACTAACAGATGAACTGTCAGTATACTCTGTTGAAATGTTGGCGATAGTAGCTGCTCTTCGGTGGGTGGAGGATGTTCAACCTATCAGAATTGTAGTATGCTCATGTAGCCGGGACTGTACTGCACCGCCATAGCTCTGTGTTGTGTGTGTGATTGATTGAGACTGAAGACGTGGACTTTGGAGATCAGGCTGTTTTAATGTATCAGAGTTCTCTGCATCCAAAAGAAAAGACAAAACATTTGTAGAGCACAAATATTTCTGTTCTGCCAATTCTCTCTCTCTCTGCATCAAAAATATTTTTCAATGCAAAAGTGAGTACAGACTCTCCTTATAATATATCAACACATAACGTCAATTTTACATCGATAAAACCACATACCTGCATTCAAAAGAAATGACTAAACATTTGTAGAGCACAAATATGTTCTACCAATCGTCGCCTCTCTCTCTCTGCATCAAAAATATTTTTCAATGCAAAAGTGAGTACAGACTCTCCTTATAATATATCAACACATAACGTCAATTTTACATCGATAAAACCACATACCTGCATTCAAAAGAAATGACTAAACATTTGTAGGGCACAAATATGTTCTACCAATCGTCGCCTCTCTCTACAACATACACACAATACAAAGGATGGGGATCAGTCGAGGACCTAGCCATCGTTCACACATACAATACATTAGCTAGCTAACAACCACTTATTGAATTTGAAATGTTAATATCATCCTAAAAAGTACAATTATAATTGCATCTTGACAATACCATCCCCTTATGAGTAAACGCAAAATATACATAATTATTCATGACTTTTGTGCTTATTTCGTCTAACTTTTCTGAAGACGACAGAAAAAGTGTGCCTACCTCTCAGTGCATCAAAATTATTTTAGCATGCAGGGCAAAACGTAAGTACACACTCCCCTATTCCCCAGGATTCAGTCAAGCATAATAACTCAACATGTTATATGAATATACGAACCTGGTGAAATTCACAAAGTATTTTAACAACTGTTACACTCATATTCCCTGTCTGTATTGAATAGTTTATCATCCAGCAAATCTAATAGGGACCTACTATTGGAGGTATTAATGTTATTATGGAGAATCAAGAAACTGGGTGTAGTAGTGCGATTCTGCTGGGTCCCAGCCCACTCGTGTGTAAAACAGGTAGCCAAAAGGGCAAAAGGACACCGAGCCCAAAGGCTGACATTTATATGCCCTCCAAAGAAAGGTCAGTGGACCAAGATTCAAAGGTCAGATTAGAAAGGAGGAGGTGATGTTTGCTCAGTTGCGCCTAGGACATTGTACATTGAACTCATCATTACATCTGGTTGGCAAGCATGTGAATGGTTTGTGTATGGAGTGTATGGTTGATTTAAGCAATAAGTAAAGAGGAGGTGTGGTATATGGCCAATATACCACGACTAAGGTCTGTTCTTATGCACAACGGAACATGGACTGCCTGGATACAGCCCTTAGCCGTGGTAAATTGGCCATATACCACAAACCCCCAAGGTGCCTTATTGCTATTATAAACTGGTTACCAACGTAATTAGAGCAGTAAAAAATTATATTTTGTCATACATGTGGTAAGCCAATCAGCATTCAGGACTCAAACCACCCAGTTTATAATAAAAAGTAAAGCATGTGTTGATATATTGTTGTAAGTACCATTATGTGGAAGAGAGGGAAATATTGATGTGTAGGGTTATTGAGTTTGGACGGGGATGATGGGGGGTTGGAAGGGATTTTCGGGATGGTGGAGGGTTTGTTAGAAGTTAGTAGGTCTCTTTTTTATTTTCTTAGTAGTACAGGATTAGGTAGGAGGGTTTAGTTCTTCTTAATGTTTGATTCTTTATTAATTTAGTCTGTAAGCTGTGATTGACTACAAACCAGTACAACAGGTGGCGGAATGCACCTCTAACGTTTGTTTGCAGACCGCCATAATACCATAGAAGATGAAGAAGAAATACGCGACCCGGAAGTGCCTAGTTAGAACGGTCTGGGTGCGTGCACGTGTGTTGATGTTACGGTTTATTTGCATTTTTATTTTTAATCAGATCGGCGATTCATAACTCATTGGTTTACCTAATTATAATTGAATGTTGGTGAAACACATGTCCAGCTAGCTAGTAGGTAAAACCCTGGCATTGGATTCGGTGAGTACCTACAGTGGGGAAAAAAAGTATTTAGTCAGCCACCAATTGTGCAAGTTCTCCCACATAAAAAGATGAGAGAGGCCTGTAATTTTCATCATAGGTACACGTCAACTATGACAGACAAAATGAGAAAAGAAAATCCAGAAAATCACATTGTAGGATTTTTTATGAATTTATTTGCAAATTATGGTGGAAAATAAGTATTTGGTCAATAACAAAAGTTTCTCAATACTTTGTTATATACCCTTTGTTGGCAATGACACAGGTCAAACGTTTTCTGTAAGTCTTCACAAGGTTTTCACACACTGTTGCTGGTATTTTGGTCCATTCCTCCATGCAGATCTCCTCTAGAGCAGTGATGTTTTGGGGCTGTCGCTGGGCAACACAGACTTTCAACTCCCTCCAAAGATTTTCTATGGGGTTGAGATCTGGAGACTGGCTAGGCCACTCCAGGACCTTGAAATGCTTCTTACGAAGCCACTCCTTCGTTGCCCGGGCGGTGTGTTTGGGATCATTGTCATGCTGAAAGACCCAGCCACGTTTCATCTTCAATGCCCTTGCTGATGGAAGGAGGTTTTCACTCAAAATCTCACGATACAAAATCCCATTCATTCTTTCCTTTACACGGATCAGTCGTCCTGGTCCCTTTGCAGAAAAACAGCCCCAAAGCATGATGTTTCCACCCCCATGCTTCACAGTAGGTATGGTGTTCTTTGGATGCAACTCAGCATTATTTGTCCTCCAAACACGACGAGTTGAGTTTTTACCAAAAAGTTCTATTTTGGTTTCATCTGACCATATGACATTCTCCCAATCCTCTTCTGGATCATCCAAATGCACTCTAGCAAACTTCAGACGGGCCTGGATATGTACTGGCTTAAGCAGGGGGACACGTCTGGCACTGCAGGATTTGAGTCCCTGGCGGCGTAGTGTGTTACTGATGGTAGGCTTTGTTACTTTGGTCCCAGCTCTCTGCAGGTCATTCACTAGGTCCCCCCGTGTGGTTCTGGGATTTTTGCTCACCGTTCTTGTGATCATTTTGACCCCACGGGGTGAGATCTTGCGTGGAGCCCCAGATCGAGGGAGATTATCAGTGGTCTTGTATGTCTTCCATTTCCTAATAATTGCTCCCACAGTTGATTTCTTCAAACCAAGCTGCTTACCTATTGCAGATTCAGTCTTCCCAGCCTGGTGCAGGTCTACAATTTTGTTTCTGGTGTCCTTTGACAGCTCTTTGGTCTTGACCATAGTGGAGTTTGGAGTGTGACTGTTTGAGGTTGTGGACAGGTGTATTTTATACTGATAACAAGTTCAAACAGGTGCCATTAATACAGGTAACGAGTGGAGGACAGAGGAGCCTCTTAAAGAAGAAGTTACAGGTCTGTGAGAGCCAGAAATCTTGCTAGTTTGTAGGTGACCAAATACTTATTTTCCACCATCATTTGCAAATAAATTCATTAAAAATCCTACAATGTGATTTTCTGGATTTTTTTCTCTCAATTTGTCTGTCAGAGTTGACGTGTACCTATGATGAAAATTACAGGCCTCTCTCATCTTTTTAAGTGGGAGAACTTGCACAATTGGTGGCTGACTAAATACTTTTTTTCCCACTGTATGCAATCATGTGATACTTCACACCAAACAAAGCTGTTTAGTTTTGTATTTTGTGTGTTATGGACTGCTGGTGACTAATTCATAGTATCATAGTATTTGTGTAACGGGTAGCCCATGGGTTCATAGGGGTGGGAGTTGGGGATGGTTTTACAATTGACTTCACAACGTGGGCATCACATGAATAAAAAGCAGAATGAGGTTGCATTGAGTGTATCAATTTGGCTCAACAGCTAGCACTCCTGTGTGTGTGTGTGTGTGTGTGTGTGTGTGTGTGTGTGTGTGTGTGTGTGTGTGTGTGCGTGTGTGTGTGTGTGTTCTGCACCACCCTTTCAAAATAAGTTACCTCCCCAAAGATCCTGCTGCATCCTGTGAGTGTAAACTGTTTTACTTTACAGTTAATTAATTTGTGCTTGGTCAATTTAAGTGTCAAAACCCAATTCTCAACTTCTCCTTTACTGATAACAATGTTGACAGGACTGCACATTCATCCTGAGAGTGGATGTCTCTACAGAAATCCAACCTAATTCTATCATTAACTGAACAACACAACTAGTATTTGAAAGAGGAAGCACACAGCCAATATGAGTTTATTTAGGTTTCCAAACAGTCTGTTGTTCCTTTTTCCAAAATTACTAAACTTTTTGAAATTACAAGCCTTGCTGACATTTTGCATTGCAAAACTCCTGTTGAAACCCCACATTTGTGTGGTAAGGAGGTTGCTATGAACAACACTGACGAAAATAAAAGTGAAGTCAGTGCTACTATGACCCTCCTGATTCATTCATCATTGTTATATAAAATCTGCCGATGTGCCCTTAAGCAAGGCACTTAACCCTAATTGCTCCTGTATATCGCTCTGGATAAGAGCGTCTGCTAAATGACTAAAAATAAATAATATCCTCTTCTGCATTTTGATCAATGATATGAATTGGATTCCCTCCCTTGCCTCTACCATGGCGTAGTCAGCTATGATCTATGGATGATGTATTCATTGTATTTTTTTTATTAAATGACATTTTAACAATGATCAGAAGCACATATATTTGTTTTAGCTCCAAGAGTCAGTCACCCCTTTGTATTCACTTGCCATGTTTCCATATCATGAAAATCATTGACATTCCACATTTTGTTGTGTTACAGCCTGAATTTAAAACGGATTAAATGTAGATTTTTTTCGTCACTGGCCAACACACAATACCCCATAATGTCAAAGTGGAATTATGTTTTTAGAGAAAAAAAATAATGAAAAGCTGAACTGTCTTGAGTCAATAAGTATTCAACCCCTTTGTTAAGGCAAGCCTAAATATGTTCAGGAGTCAAAATTTGCTTAACAAGTCAAATCTACGCTAGAGTTGCTTACCAAGACGACAGAGTTACAGTTTTGACTTCAATCTACTTGAAAATCTATGGCAAGACCTGAAAATGGTTGTCTAGCAATGATCAACAACCAATTTGACAGAGCTTGAAGATTTTTGAAAATAATAATGGGCAAATTTGCACAATTCAGGTGTGGAAAGCTCTTAGAGACTTACCCAGAAAGACTCACAGCTGTAATCGATGCCAAAGGTGCTTCTACAAATTATTGACTCTGGGGTGGGAATACTTACAGTGAGGGAAGAAAGTATTTGATCCCCTGCTGATTTTGTACGTTTGCCCACTGACAAAGACATGATCAGTCTATAATTTTAACGGTAGGTTTATTTGAACAGTGAGAGACAGAATAACAACAACAAAATCCAGAAAAACTAATGTCAAAAATGTTATGAATTGATTTGCATTTTAATGAGGGAAATAAGTATTTGACCCCTCTGCAAAACATGACTTAGTACTTGGTGGCAAAACCCTTGTTGGCAATCACAGAGGTCAAACGTTTCTTGTAGTTGGCCACCAGGTTTGCACACATCTCAGGAGGGATTTTGTTCCACTCCTCTTTGCAGATCTTCTCCAAGTCATTAAGGTTTCGAGGATGACGTTTGGCAACTCAAACCTTCAGCTCCCTCCACAGATTTTCTATGGGACTAAGGTCTGGAGACTGGCTAGGCCACTCCAGGACCTTAATGTGCTTCTTCTTAAGCCACTCCTTTGTTGCCTTGGCCGTGTGTTTTGGGTCATTGTCATGCTGGAATACCCATCCACGACCCATTTTCAAAGCCTTGGCTGAGGGAAGGAGGTTCTTACCCAAGATTTGACGGTACATGGCCCCGTCCATCGTCCCTTTGATGCGGTGAAGTTGTCCTGTCCCCTTAGCAGAAAAAAACCCCCAAAGCCTAATGTTTCCACCTCCATGTTTGACGGTGGGGATGGTGTTCTTGGGGTCAAAGGCAGCATTCCTCCTCCTCCAAACACGGCGAGTTGAGTTGATGCCAATGAGCTCGATTTTGGTCTCATCTGACCACAACACTTTCACCCAGTACTCCTCTGAATCATTCAGATGTTCATTGGCAAACTTCAGACGGCCCTGTATATGTGCTTTCTTGAGCAGGGGGACCTTGCAGGCGCTGCAGGATTTCAGTCCTTCAAGGCGTAGTGTGTTACCAATTGTTTTCTTGGTGATTATGGTCCCAGCTGCCTTGAGATCAATTAACAAGATCCTCCCGTGTAGTTCGGGGCTGATTCCTCACCGTTCTCATGATCATTGCAACTCCACGAGGTAAGATCTTGCATGGAGCCCCAGGCCGAGGGAGATTTACAGTTCTTTTGTGTTTCTTCCATTTGTGAATAATCGCACCAACTGTTGTCACCTTCTCACCAAGCTGCTTGGCGATGGTCTTGTAGCCCATTCCAGCCTTGTGTAGGTCTACAATCTTGTCCCTGACATCCTTGGAGAGCTCTTTGGTCTTGGCCATGGTGGAGAGTTTGGAATCTGATTGATTGATTGCTTCTGTGGACAGGTGTCTTTTATACAGGTAACAAACTGAGATTAGGAGCACTCCCTTTAAGAGTGTACTCCTAATCTCAGCTCGTTACCTGTATAAAAGACACCTGGGAGCCAGAAATCTTTCTGATTGAGAGGGGGTCAAATACTTATTTCCTCATTAAAATGCAAATCAATTTATAACATTTTTTACATGCGTTTTTCTGGATTTTTTTGTTGTTATTCTGTCTCTCACTGTTTAAATAAACCTACCATTAAATTATAGACTGATCATTTCTTTATCAGTGGGCAAACGTACAAAATCAGCAGGGGATCAAATACTTTTTTCCCTCACTGTATGTAAATGAGATATTTCTGAATTTCATATATATATATATATATATATATATTTGTTATACTTATAAAAAAAACATGTTTTCATTTTGTCATTATGGGGTATTGCGTGTAGATGAGTAAGTGCATACAGATCTATAACCACAACAACAATAACAAGATGCTCAGTGATCTGTTTATTTCTTTGAATCAAATGTTATCTCAGTGAGATTTTAAAAAGTATGTTGTGAAATGCGCTGTATCTATTCTTGACTATGACAGCTTTATTACTTAAATAAAGAAAATAGCTTTGAGATGATGGCCTTTGAATGAACTCTGAACTCATGGATGATGCATAAAGAAAATAGCTCTGAAATGATGAATTGACACAATGAACTCATGGATGATGCAATTGAAAGGATCTATGCAACCAAAGTTATTTATGTTTCTCAGTAAATGACCAGTGATAGCTACGTGAGGATCCCAAGGTATCTGTTGGGGACCTCCTACTACAGGGGCTGGCTGCTTTCTGAGTGCACACTGTTGCTATAAAAGCCCTCTTCCCTTTTCACTTTTCACTCAGTACATTTGAGGACTTGATCATTACTCTTCTGCATCTCACAATGGAGGAAACCTATGTCAGGCATGTGGAGTTTCTGGGCTTTGAGAAACGCTTCTTCCCCAGTCAGCGCTATGTGAGTTTGAGTTTGATCATTGTTGACCAAAATACCCAATGGTTCAGTGGAGGTTAATGCATGGGGTTGTTTTCCCAGACACAGATTAAGCCTAATCATAGACTTAAAAAGCATGCTCAATGGAGATTCTCTATTCAAAGTGCTTCTTAGTCAGAGTCTCTTCTTAATATTAAAGACAATTGCTTAAAAAACTTGAATGACCAAGATTATTAGTTAACATTAAATTGCTTTGATAACATTTTCATTGAGCAAAATAGCTTTTGAGCATTTGATTGTTCTTCACTTATCTTTTTGACTACTTTCTCGGAAGGTCTACATGCTGATGGTGAAATGGAACAACCTGTCTGAGAAGTTGATCTATAGAGGGTATCCGGAGATCTACACCTTTCACGTGAGTCTCTGCCTCACTCAACTTAATAGTCTGGAGGCAAAAAGTAGGAAAGTTGGACAGCTGTGTATGTCTAGTGTTTATCTGTATGCAAATAGCAGTCGAAGGGATTTCATTGCTACCTCAATAACTGAAAGCTTGTAATATAGTTAAAGGCTGTGAAATGCCTGCCTTACTGTTAGCCCCACTGATCTGCAGTCAGTTGATATGGTGCCTGACTGCCTAGGTTATATAAATCCATGATGAATAACTGCCTCTCTACTACCCCCACTGATATGCAGTTAGTTGATAATGTGTTTGGGTTATAGAAATCCCTAATGGAGATGTTCCCCATTGAGGCCGGTGACATCGATAAGAAAGACAGGATCATCCCTGCATTACCAGGTAAGGACATGTATCTGCTCTATGGCTTACCTCTCCAAAATGATAGCTGGTGTGTGGTTAGCGTTCTGGCACAAATGGTTGCTGTGCATCACAAACGTGGGTGCCACACATTAGTGGTGGATGAGGTGAGCTTCCACCTTACCATGTAAAGCGCTTTGAGCACCTAGGTGGAAAATCATGGATAAAGAAAGTATTGATCTCTCTACAGTTTACTATAGCAGTGATGCTGTAATTCTAGTATCCTTTGCCTTTTTGCTTCATTTGAAAACAAAAAAAGTTTAGGCTTTGTATGCACTTGGGTGAACAGACTAGGTAGTGTTTGTTGTCAGTTAATGCTTTGCGTAAGGAAACACCTGCTGCTGCAATCCACATGTGACAAATGTACTTCTCTTTTTTTGTATAAATGCTAATCAGTAAACCATAGCATCCTGTCTCATTTTGATATTTTTTGAAAATAACCTTATTCAATATAAACTCAGCAAAAAAAGAAACGTCCTCTCACTGTCAACTGCGTTTTTTTTGAAGCAAACTTAACATATGTAAATATTTGTATGAACATAACAAGATTCAACAACTGAGACATAAACTGAACAAGTTCCACAGACATGTGACTAACAGAAATTGAATAATGTGTCCCTGAACAAAGGGGGTGTCAAAATCAAAAGTAACAGTCAGTATCTGGTGTGGCAACCACCTGCATTAAGTACTGCAATGCATCTCCTCCTCATGGACTGCACCAGATTTTCCAGTTCTTGCTGTGAGATGTTACTTCCACCAATACACCTGCAAGTTCCCAGACATTTCTGGGGGGAATGGCCCTAGCCTTCACCCTCAGATCCAACAGGTCCCAGACGTGCTCAATGGGATTGAGATCCGGGCTCTTCGCTGGCCATGGCAGAACACTGACATTCCTGTCTTGCAGGAAATCACGCACAGAACGAGCAGGATGGCTGGTGGCATTGTCATGCTGGAGGGTCATGTCAGGATGAAACTGCAGGAAGGGTACCACATGAGGGAGGAGGATGTCTTCCCTGTAACGCACAGCGTTGAGATTGCCTGCAATGACAACAAGCTCAGTCCGATGATGCTGTGACACACCGCCCCAGACCATGACGGACCCTCCACCTCCAAATCAATCCCGCTTCAGAGTACAGGCCTCGGTGTAACGCTCATTCCTTCGACGATGAGCGCGAATCCGACCATCACCCCTGGTGAGACAAAACCGCGACTCGTCAGTGAAGAGCACTTTTTGCCAGTCCTGTCTGGTCCAGCGACGGTGGGTTTGTGCCCATAGGCGACGTTGTTGCCGGTGATGTCTGGTGAGGACCTGCCTTACAACAGGCCTACAAGCCATCAGTCCAGCCTCTCTCAGCCTATTGCGGACAGTCTGAGCACTGATGGGGGAATTGTGCGTTCCTGGTGTAACTCGGGCAGTTGTTGTTGCCATCCTGTACCTGTCCCGCAGGTGTGATGTTCTGATGTACCGATCCTGTGCAGGTGTTGTTACACATGGTCTGCCACTACGAGGACGATCAGCTGTCCGTCCTGTCTCCCTGTAGCACTGTCTTAGGTGTCTCACAGTACGGACATTGCAATTTATTGCCCTGGCCACATCTGCAGTCCTCATGCCTCCTTGCAGCATGCCTAAGGCACGTTCACGCAGATGAGCAGGGACCCTGGGTCTCTTTCTTTAGGTGTTTTTCAGAGTCAGTAGAAAGGCCTCTTTAGTGTCCTAAGTTTTCATAACTGTGACCTTAATTGTCTACCGTCTGTAAGCTGTTAGTGTCTTAATGACCGTTCCACAGGTGCATGTTCATTAATTGTTGATGGTTCATTGAACATGCATGGGAAACAGTGTTTAAACCCTTTACAATGACGTTCTGTGAAGTTATTTTGATTTTTACTCATGATCTTTGAAAGATAGGGTCCTGAAAAAGGGACGTTTATTTTTTTTGCTGAGTTTATTTTTATTTTCTAGATTTTAATTGAATTTATATATAAATTATTTATCTAAAATATATTATTTAAATTACAATGTATCTTATTCTTATGCAGTCTAAATAGTTATATAGTATATAAACAACTTCAATTATAGTATATAAACAACTTCAGTTAAAAGCTGATTGGTAGGGATTCTGTATGTGTAAGACCGGCATATTACATATTTGACACTTTACATTTTGGTCAAACAATTTGCCCTATCAGTTCTCCCTAAAGGCAGCATATTTTTAATCCAAAGGCTGTGACCACTAGTGGTTATTTAGCACAAAAGAAAAATGAACTAACACAACAAGGACCCTCAACAGGGCTCAAGTCGTTAAGCTTGTGTTGATACAACATGGGGAAGCAGAAGTTGCAAACAAACCTCAAAGTACTATGCAATACCAGAATCTTCCCCAGAAATCATAATACCTATGAAGATTTTACTCTAACCAATATCATGTATTGACTGGATTTGGCCAATTTGGAAGGTGTAGGATCAGGATCTGATTTTAGCTACAAAACAGGTTTAATTACAGTGTCAACACATTGAAAAGCAGACCCTGGTTTGTAAGTATCTTCTCTGGTTCCCTAAATCCTATTTGCTTAGCATTCATTTACAAGTAGCTTTAATGACAGTGTGATACATTAAGAGGAAACTGCAATGTGCAATTTACGTTTAGTTCCTTGTCCAACGCAAAGTTCCACATTTTCACAGATAAACATATAACATCTACATCCACCACTGTAGTGTGCTATTTTGAATTTTGAATTTTAAGAAATGAGGGTTCTCTGTTTTCAATTGGCCTGCTAATTTTTTCCCTTTCCTTCTGTCCCTCCTATCCTCAGCGCCAAAGTGGTTGGACAGCCAAAAGAGCACCGAGACCAGGCAGAGCACTCTGGCTGAATACTGCCAATCTCTCATCAACCTGCCCCCCAAGATCTCCCACTGCCAGCTGGTATGCAACTTCTTCAAGGTCCGACCGGAGGATGAGAACCCACCCGCTCAACAGGTGTAAGTACAACTACAAGCAATGTCTCACTACTAACTTGTAAACACTGTGGCTACGTTATGATTCTCTACCCTTCTCCTGAAGTGTGCATTCGTAGACTCCCCTTCCTGGATTTAAAAGGAATGGACTGGTGTGAGGAATATGGTGGAAACTCCCTCCAGCCATGTATGCACCAATCCAATGTTGTAGATCTAAGCCCTTAAATCACAATATCTACTAAGCTAACATATATAATTGTTTTAAGATGGTCATTACATTTATCATTTAACCATTTGATTTAGAATTTTAGGACCCCTGTAGGTATATCTTTTTTAAATGAAATATTGAATTTGGCCTTTACTGCTACAGCCCATAGAAATGCATTGAATAACACATGTACATGGCAAAACAGACAGTTAAAAAATTTATCATAAGGAATAAGGTTTTGAAGTGTTTGTCCTATATCTGAGAGAGATAAGAAAACTCAGGGGTGGGGGGAGGGGGGGTCACTTTTTTCATGGCACTTTTTACCCACAATGCACATTGTGCAATTTTTACAGCCCACTATTGGGTTACCTTCAGATGACTCCCCTGAAGCTTAGTGTAGTCTGATTACTTTAGAGCAACTTGCACCTTTTGGTAACATGATACTTCCCTCACCTATCCAGACTCCCAAATAGCAACATTCACAAGGGGTTTTCTTGTTGCAAGTTGGCTTAACACTGCAAGCTAGCTAGCTAGCCTTTTTGCTTCCCACATCGCCATGTGAAATAATCGGATTTATAATGAAACAATATGCCCTGGAAAATATTATTTTACTTGCCGGTGCAACAACATTATCCCAATTTGATATGCTGCTTCAATGTATTCGCTCCCATATCAGCTAATAATAGAATGTCATCATTTTTTGTCGTCACAGAGGGAAAAAAACACATGGCCATCTGTTTTTACATTTCCAAATATCCTAGAGTAACCTTATCACTTCTAAACAAAATAACTTCTGGGGGGATTCTAATAAGGCTACAATGTTGTTTAGTTTATTGTTTGAACAGTCGCTGAGATTATATTTCGTTATCAATGCAAAATAGGCTGCTTATTTAATGCCAAGCTAAGTTTAAGTGATTTTGAAGTTGATTAGCTTCCCACATCGCCATGTGAAATAATCAGATTTATAATTAAATAATATGCCCTGGCAAGTATTCTTATACTTGCCGGTGTAATTTACAACATTATCCCAATTTGCAACATTGATGGGGCTGTAGTGGAGCGGGTCGAGAGTTTCAAGTTCCTTGGTGTCCACATCATCAACAAACTATCATGGTCCAAACACACCAAGAAAGTCGTGAAGAGGGCACGACAACACCTTTTCCCCCTCAGGAGACTGAAAAGATTTGGCATGGGTCCCCAGATCCTCAAAAGGTTCTACAGCTGCACCATCGAGAGTATCCTGACTGGTTGCATCACCGCCTGGTATGGCAACTGCTCGGCATCCGACCGTAAGGCGCTACAGTGGGTAATGCGTACAGCCCAATACATCACTGGGGCCAAACTTCCTACCATCCAGGACCTATATACTAGGCGGTGTCAGAGGAAGGCCCAAAAAGTTGTCAAAGACTCCAGTCACCCAAGTCATAGACTGTTCTCTCTGCTACCGCACGGCAAGCGGTACCGGAACGCCAAGTCTAGGTCCAAAAGGCTCCTTAACAGCTTCTACCCCCAATTAATTAAATAGCCACCCGGACTATTTGCATTGACCCCCCCCCCCCCCCCAACCTGTACCCCAGCACATTGACTCGGTACTGGTACCCCCTGTATATAGCCTCATTATTGTTATTATTATTTTATTTTTGTAACTTTAGTTTATTTAGTAAATATTTTCTGAACTGCATTGTTGGTTAAGGGCTTGTAAGTAAGCATTTCACGGTAAGGTCTACACCTGTTGTATTTGGCACGTGACAAATGAAATTTGACTCGATTTGAATTTGATATGCTGCTTCAATGTATTCACTTCCAAATCAGATAAAAATAGAATGTCATCATGATTTGGTCACAGAGGAAAAGCACATATCTCGCAGCTGTTTTTACCAATAGCCTGGAATCAATACTTATTACTTCTTTTTTTTTTTTTGGGGGGGGGGGGGGGGGATTCTAATAAGGCAACATTTTTGTTTGGTTTATTGTTTGAACAGTCACTAAGATTATTTATTTATCAATGCAAAATAGGTTACTCTGATGCATAGCCTATACAGTGAGGGAAAAAAGTATTTGATCCCCTGCTGATTTTGTACGTTTGCCCACTGACAAAGAAATGATCAGTCTATCATTTTAATGGTAGGTTTATTTGAACAGTGAGAGACAGAATAACAACAAAAAAATCCAGAAAAACGCATGTCAAAAATGTTATGAATTGATTTGCATTTTAATGAGGGAAATAAGTATTTGACCCCCTCTCAATCAGAAACATTTCTGTCTCCCAGGTGTCTTTTATACAGGTAACGAGCTGAGATTAGGAGCACACTCTTAAAGGGAGTGCTCCTAATCTCAGCTTGTTACCTGTATAAATAATAATAATATGCCATTTAGCAGATGTTTTTATCCAAAGCGACTTACAGTCATGTGTGCATACATTTTTACGTATGGGTGGTCCCGGGGATCGAACCCACTACCCTGGCATTACAAGCGCCATGCTCTACCAATTGAGCTACAGAGGACCAGTGTAAATACCATGTTGACTACCATGCTTCCCACAGTTGTGTCAAGTTGGTATAAAAGACACCTGTCCACAGAAGCAATCAATCAATCAGATTCCAAACTCTCAACCATGGCCAAGACCAAAGAGCTCTCCAAGGATGTCAGGGACAAGATTGTAGACCTACACAAGGCTGGAATGGGCTACAAGACCATCGCCAAGCAGCTTGGTGAGAAGGTGACAACAGTTGGTGTGATTATTCGCAAATGGAAGAAACACAAAAGAACTGTCAATCTCCCTCGGCCTGGGGCTCCATGCAAGATCTCACCTCATGGAGTTGCAATGATCATGAGAAGGGTGAGGAATCAGCCCAGAACTACACAGGAGGATCTTGTCAATGATCTCAAGGCAGCTAGGACCATAGTCACCAAGAAAACAATTGGTAACACACTACGCAGTGAAGGACTGAACTCCTGCAGCGCCCGCAAGGCCCCCCTGCTCAAGAAAGCACATATACAGGCCCGTCTGAAGTTTGCTAATGAAAATCTGAATGATTCAGAGGAGAACTGGGGGAAAGTGTTGTGGTCAGATGAGACCAAAATCGAGCTCTTTGGCATCAACTAAACTCGCCGTGTTTGGAGGAGGAGGAATGCTGCCTATGACCACAAGAACACCATCCCCACCGTCAAACATGGAGGTGGAAACATTATGCTTTGGGGGGTTTTTTCTGCTAAGGGGACAGGACAACTTCACCGCATCAAAGGGACGATGGACGGGGCCATGTACCGTCAAATCTTGGGTGAGAACCTCCTTCCCTCAGCCAGGGCATTGAAAATGGGTCGTGGATGGGTATTCCAGCATGACAATGACCCAAAAGTGGCTCAATAAGGAGCACATTAAGGTCCTGGAGTGGCCTAGCCAGTCTCCAAACCTTAATCCCATAGAAAATCTGTGGAGGGAGCTGAAGGTTCGAGTTGCCAAACGTCAGCCTCGAAACCTTAATGACTTGGAGAAGACCTGCAAAGAGGAGTGGGACAAAATCCCTCCTGAGATGTGTGCAAACCTGGTGGCCATCTACAAGAAACGTCTGACCTCTGTGATTGCCAACAAGGGTTTTGCCACCAAGTACTAAGTCATGTTTTGCAGAGGGGTCAAATACTTATTTCCCTCATTAAAATGCAAATCAATTCATAAAATCTTTGACATGCATTTTTCTGGATTTTGTTGTTGTTATTCTGTCTCTCACTGTTCAAATAAAACTACCATTAAAATTATAGACTGATCATGTCTTTGTCAGTGGGCAAACGTACAAAATCAGCAGGGGATCAAATACTTTTTTCCCTCACTGTAGATCAGATCAAGGAACCAAGTAAGCTTCATTGCTTACACACCACTGCCCCCATGGCTACACAAGGAATGATATGGCACGTTACAATTTTCATGTGGCACGGGAGTACGTAGAATGTCAGAGCATACTACAAGGAGCCGGCCCTTTTGTGATGAAAAACAACATTGCAACACTGAGCTACACTCCGTTGGGTCCGTCTCCATAGGGTATAAATAGCCCTTTAAGGGGGGGTTAAATGCATTCGGGGGAAGAGGACAGTGTGCACACTTCTGAAGAAGGGTAATGAATCAGAATGCAGCCTGTTTCATTCCAGGAAGATGTTCCCTCCCCTCTCCCATCGTTCACTCCCCTTCCCAGATCTGATAGGACTGGATGGGTGAAAAGCAATATGGCGATAACTAGGTGGAGTTATTGCTTACACCTACCCAGTTGTATCAGATCCATTAATGAAAATGAACGAGGGAAGAGGGAAGTGGACAACTTTCTGGAATGTGTTACCTTTGCTTCTGGATTGATATGCACTGAGTGTACAAAACATTAGGAACACCTTCCTAATATTGAGTTGCACCCCCTTTTGCCCTCAGAACAGCCACAATTCGTCGGGGCATGGACTCTACATGGTGTCGAAAGCGTTCCACAGAGATGCTGGCCCATGTTGACCACTATGCTTCCCACAGTTGTGTCAAGGTGGCTGTATGTTCTTTGGGTAGTGGACCATTCTTGATACACAGGGGAAATTGTTGAGCGTGAAAAACCCAGCAGCGTTGCAGTTCTTGACACACTGAAACCGGTGCGCCTTGCACATACTAAGGGATCATAACTTTCACCTGGATTCATCTGGTCAGTCTATGTCATGGAAAGAGCCGGTGTTCCTAATGTTTTGTACACTCAGTGTAGAATAATGAGTGAGTTATCCATGTTTCCCCTGTAGAGTCAAAATAAATGAGACCTCCACGGATAAGGCCAGAGGCAACACTTCTGGTAAGACCCTGTCTTAGTCTTTACCTTTTTATTAACCCATTAATAGACACACTTTTCTAGCCAAACTTGTGAGGGAATATGGGCTCTAGTGTACTATAGTCCTGTTATAAAGAGATCTGACCATAGTGATTTAAAGCGGCAATCAGCAGTTGAAGCAATAACAAGGCCTCTGTTTCTGTAAAAAGCTGAAGTATAGGGCTGGAGAAATGTAACCATTCTCAAATTCATATATGGATGCAAGGACTGACATTGGAGTAAAACAAGCTTATATTTTGGGTTCTGATGGGGTACGCAAGTTAAACTAAGCTCATGAGGCCTTTATAAGTTAAATTCTTCAAGAATCTATGGCTACACATCATTAATTTGTAGGTCCAAAAATGGATGTAGCTACTGCAGATTGTCATTGTCATTTTGTCTTCTGATCAGAAATCTCTGGCCCCATCATATTGGAAAGCTACAGGGTGATCGCTGAATACAGCAAGACCTCCAAGTATGAGATCAACCTGCATACTGGAGACTTAGTGGAGATTGTGGAGAAAAGCCTGAACGGTGAGTGACAATAAGACACAACATCACTCACCAAATGAATGGTCCCAGTCAGAGCAGAAGCCATCTGAATCTGAGCCAAAGTGTGCATGTGACAATGTGAACTGGATGCAACATACTGTACATGGGCCTTTTCTCCTCCGTGTCAAGGAGATGTCAATTCGTTAGTGTCTTCCTCTCCTCGATAGCCACCTTTCATGCACACGTTTAAAAACAATATGCTACTTGTTGTTTTATCTATAAAATGTGTTGCACAACTAACTTCATTCGTTTTTATCACTTTACACGTTTATTTTGGGGTCCAACCCTGTAAACGTAATTTGCCTGATGAAGCGCGAGTGGAGAAGGAGTCTTATTTCATAAAAGCGCATTTTCGGCCACGTTCCGTCTCCTCGCCGCCTCTCCTCGATTACCTTTGATATTTTTCAAAAGGAGGCGAGAGAGGATGGAGGAGTTGAGCAAATCCTATTGATAAAAGGCCCTAGTGTGTTCCTGATTAACCTACTGCTGCTCCTCCTGGGTCGTGTTTAGGAGGCATGAAACAAAAGACAACAGACTGAAACAGGGAGAGAGTACCTCCTACCCAATAAGAAACACACATTTTTGTTTTAAAAAGTTTACCATTGCATGCCCTACTGAACATGAACATGGTTTCTGTGCTTAGCGCTCACTTGACCTTTGACCCCTCTACCATGGCAGGTTGGTGGTTCTGCCAGTGTGAGACCAAGCGGGGCTGGGTGCCCGCCTCTTACCTGGAGCCCCTGGATGGACCAGAGGAGTCTGAAGAAGCTGATCCCAACTACACAGGCAAGTCTCACCACCTGCTTGGGCTCCAGCTAAAATAAGAGCAAGGGAGGCTGGTGACGGCCATCTTCTGTCACAATCTCAATTTTAGTCCTTTATATTTTTATCTAATATCTATTGGTATGTGACACCATTTTCAGTGAGGTCACAGGTGATTTGTTTGTTAGGTTTTGTGTTGGCTGTCGACATTGTATAATATTAACCTAATTCTAAACCAACTTTGAGAAGCTAGTGAAGCCTTAGAGCTCATAATTCTAATGTGTGTTTGTCCCCACAGGAGAACTCTACATCACCACCAAAGCCTACAAGGCAGCACAAGATGATGAGCTGACTCTTGAGACGGGGGAAACTATTGAGGTCATTCACAAGCTCCTGGATGGATGGTGGGTGGTCAGGTATGTAGGCTGATTCTGTACTCTTCCCGCTCTCTATTAATCTCTGTAAGAACGTCGGACCATCGGCAGGCAGCTGTGTGGATCAGTAGTAGCTTACATATTAGCTACTGTTGTATCATGTAGCCACGCACACGCACACACACAGTGTTTCTAAGTGCATCTCGTCTTGGATAGGAAAGGAGAGGAGACAGGACACTTCCCCTCCATGTTTCTCCACAGAACTGGGGAGAAGAAGGAGATGGAGCCGGAGGAGAACGTAACAAGAAGACAGACACCACCACCCAGACGGTAGGCCTACAAACTTCTGGACATTTATTTTGGATTACTTCCTCTATGGATAAAGACAAAGCGCACTACGCTTTTTTTACGGGCGACAGGTTCAGTACACATCACTGCATTCTGTCTCAGAAAGTAGGCTGGCCCTCTTTGAAGTCTCGTAGATTGATGCATTGCACTCTTTTTGTTTATAAAGCCCTCCTGCATCAACTTCCGCCGTACCTTACTTCATTACTAACTTGAAATAAGGTACGTGAAGTAAGGTCCACCACGTATGCAGTGGTGGAAAAAGTACTCAATCGTAAAAGTAAAGATACCTTAATAGAAAAAGACTCAAGTAAAAGTCTCCCAGTAAAATACTACTTTAATACAAATCTAAAAGTATCTGGTTTAAAATGTACTTAGGTACAGTGGTGAAAAAAGTGCTCAGTTGTCACAAAAGTAAATTCTACCTCAAATTAAATTAAGCAAACCAGACATCACCATTTTTTATTGTAAAATCAAAACAAAAAACAGACAGACAGACAGGGGCACACTCCCACACTCAGACATCATTTACAAACGCAGTATTTGTGTTTAGTGAGTCCGCCAAATCAGAGGCAGTAGGGATGATGCGTTATATTGATAGGTGTGTGAATTGGACCATATTGCTGTCCTGCCTTAGCATTCGAAATGTAACTAGTACTTTAGGATGTCAGTGAAAATGTATGGGAGTAAAAAGTACATATTTTCTTTAGGAATGTAGTGGAGTACTGTGGAAGTAAAAGTCCAAAATATAAATAAAGTACAGATACCCCCCAAAAAATACTTTAGTACTTCAAAGTATTTTTACTTAAGTACTTTACACCACTGGACGTACGAGATACCAGACCCGGTCTCAGGGATGGCTACCTCTGGAGATCCCTTCAATTTCCACTGAGTTGGGTAGATCTGCTTGTAGTTTTCTTGCACCTTACATGTGGAATGATCTCCAATACACTTTATAATTGGAGGAATTGGTACCTCTAAGGCATTTCAGATGGCTGATATTAGATATTTTTACTGAAGAATGTCTGTTTTTTATGATTGTGTTTTGCTTTTCATGTATTGTTGTGTATAATAACGTGTATTTCAATGTTTATATGGATGTGAAGTTTAATGTGTATATTATATTTTGATATGTTTTGTTGTTCAAAAACAGGACTCATCTGGAAAAGAGACTTTGGTCTTGGCATTGACTCCCTGTCAAAATAATGGTTAAATAAAATATTGATAATTCTCTTTTTAACGGTTTGTTTTAACTTCTCACTTCCTCTTTCCACATATATCTCCTCTTGGCTTTTAGGTCTACAATCCGCAATACTCAGAGTATTCACGGTAAACGGCGCAAGGGCATCAGCCAGGACACCTACCGCAGGACCAGTCGCCGCTTCCTGCAGCAGAAAGGCGACTGGCCCAACCAGCCCAGGAAGACCTCCAATGCCTCCACACAGTCCCTCCTGCAGGAGAGGAAGAACAGAGGTATACCATTTTGATACAGGCAGCCATTTTTATACAGTATTGTGGCAGACCTGGGTTCAAATATTGCTGTATTTGTTTTCTTTCAAAGCTTTATTGAGCTTGCCTGGAATGCAGAATGGAACCAATGGAATAGTCCCAAAAGTTCAAACCCCATATATGTAGCACTCCAGGCAAGCTCAGCTCCAGGCACTTTGTGACAACTGCTGATGTAAAAAGGACTTTATAAAATCAATTTGATAGATTGATTGAGCTCAAGCAAATACTCCCAAGAGTTTGAAAGAATACAGATACTATTTGAAGCCAGGTCTCCGGTGGAGTAGAATTGGCTATGGCTTGCTCCCACAGTAAAGGCCTTCAATCAGAGAGCAAAGCTGTATATTGCCAACTCCATAAAAGCAGCAACGCGCATGCCCCGATCACCTAAGGATTTCTCCTTTTCAGCCATCAATGTCCTGTGTTTGAGGGGTGCAAATTCCACAATTTCACTGGATTGATTGCTTTCATTTTATTCTTGCGACTCTTTCCTACTCTCACTTGTGCCATTTGTTTTTTCCGTTAACATTACAACCGTGAAAACGTTTGTAATGACCTTTCAAACACTCCGGTAATTACTGAAATGGGCTTAATGGAATACAATTGTTTTCTGTTACATCTATAGGGGGACACTACTCATCCGGGACTGGGGTACGCGCCAATCTATCCTCATTGAAAACAGTTAAACTTCGCCTGAATTCAAGCAACAACGACACAATCTTTTTAATATTCTTTTTTTCTTTTTTTACTGGATTATAGCTCCCGTCGAAATGTCGTGATGAATATTAATATTATAGTCACCAGTCAACTCCATTAAACTCAAATGTTTACCAGTGATTACCATTAAAATCAACTTCAACCAGTGATTGATAGCAATGGCTAGCTGTGCTAGCTATGCTGCCAGTCTGTCTTAATGAGTGTTAGCATGCTAATAGCATAACCTGCACACAACATTTTTTATTTCTAAGGGGCAGTAGGTTATTGATATCAGCCAAATTATGTTGTATCGGACATTTCAAACAACATTCCCAGCTAATGAGAAAACAGTCATGGTATTTAGTTTAAGACACAAATGAGAGAACATCACTCTAACCTTTTTACTCTCCCTAGCAGACTGTTTTCAAGTTATAGACGGGTGAGTGACTAACTGTGTTACTGTTTTGCCAGAGTGAATGTACGAATGCTTCCCATGTTGTCACACCCTGGCTCTGGGACCCTATATGTTGAGCCAGGGTGTGTTCATTCTGTGGTGTTCATTCTAGTTTGTTGTATTCTATGTTTGCCTGAGTGACTCCCAATCAGAGGCAACGAGTGTCAGCTGTTGGCTGGTTGTCTCTGATTGGGAGCCATATTTAAACTGTCTGTTTTCCCTTTTGTGTTTGTGGGTTTTTGTTCCGTGTTTCGGTCATTGATACCGTGGACGTCACGAGTCGTTTCTTGTTTTGTATTCATGTTTATACTTTAACTAATTAAAGTATGTTTGTTCATCACGCTGCGCCTTGGTCTGTTCCATATGACGTGGAGACAGAAAAACCCACCTCGACTGGATCAAGCAGCGTGACGAGGAGAGAGGATGGACTTGGGAGGAGATGAGTGCGAGTCTGGCAAGAGGGATGGAGGCCTTGGCCACGGGTAGGAGTGAAGCCCATACATTTTTTAGGGGGGGGCTAACGCCGTGGACGACGGGGCAGCAGGAGGCCGCCAGGTTACGGGAGTCACTGGTCACCAGGGGGAAGGAGGATGTAGAGGCACGGCGAGAGGTACTGGCGTGTGTTGCCAGTCCGGTCCGGCCTGTTCCTGATCCCCACGTAGGGCCAGTTGTGTGTGTTCCCAGTACGGTCCGGCCTGTTCCTGCCACTCGCACCAAGTCTGTGGTGCGCTTCGTCAGCCCGGCACGGCCCGTTCCTGCTCCCCGCACCAAGTCAGTGGTGCGCTTCGTCAGCCCGGCACGGCCCGTTCCTGCTCCCCGCACCAAGTCAGTAGTGCGCGTCGTCAGCCCGGTCCGGCTCATTCCTGCTCCCCGCACCAAGTCAGTGGTGCGCTTCGTCAGCCCGGTCCGGCCCGCTCCTGCTCCCCGCACCAAGTCAGTGGTGCGCTTCGTCAGCCCGGTCCGGCCCGCTCCTGCTCCCCGCACCAAGTCAGTGGTGCGTTTCGTCAGCCCAGCGCGGCCCGCTCCTGCTCCCCACACCAAGCCAGTGGTGTGCGTCGTCAGTCCGGCACGGGCCGTGCCTGTTCCACCGGTGGCTGGTCCGGCACCGGTCAGATGCTTCGCGCCGGAGCTAGAGCAATCCGCTCCACCAGTGTCAAGTTCAGCTCCAGCCAGCGGGGCCAGACTGGACCAGGGGCGCTATGGGGGGTTGATTGGAGGGTGGTGGTCAAGGCCGGAGCCAGAACCGCCGCCGAGGAGGTATGCCCGCCCAGCCCTCCCCTGTTTTGTTTTAGTTGAGGCGTGGTCACAGTCCGCGCCTTTAGGGGGGGGTACTGTCACACCCTGGCTCTGGGACCCTATATGTTGAGCCAGGGTGTGTTCATTCTGTGGTGTTCATTCTAGTTTGTTGTATTCTATGTTTGCCTGAGTGACTCCCAATCAGAGGCAACGAGTGTCAGCTGTTGGCTGGTTGTCTCTGATTGGGAGCCATATTTAAACTGTCTGTTTTCCCTTTTGTGTTTGTGGGTTTTTGTTCCGTGTTTCGGTCATTGATACCGTGGACGTCACGAGTCGTTTCTTGTTTTGTATTCATGTTTATACTTTAACTAATTAAAGTATGTTTGTTCATCACGCTGCGCCTTGGTCTGTTCCATATGACGTGGAGACAGAAAAACCCACCTCGACTGGATCAAGCAGCGTGACGAGGAGAGAGGATGGACTTGGGAGGAGATGAGTGCGAGTCTGGCAAGAGGGATGGAGGCCTTGGCCACGGGTAGGAGTGAAGCCCATAAATTTTTTAGGGGGGGCTAACGCCGTGGACGACGGGGCAGCAGGAGGCCGCCAGGTTACGGGAGTCACTGGTCACCAGGGGGAAGGAGGATGTAGAGGCACGGCGAGAGGTACTGGCGTGTGATGCCAGTCCGGTCCGGCCTGTTCCTGATCCCCACGTAGGGCCAGTTGTGTGTGTTCCCAGTACGGTCCGGCCTGTTCCTGCCACTCGCACCAAGTCAGTGGTGCGCTTCGTCAGCCCGGCACGGCCCGTTCCTGCTCCCCGCACCAAGTCAGTGGTGCGCTTCGTCAGCCCGGCACGGCCCGTTCCTGCTCCCCGCACCAAGTCAGTGGTGCGCTTCGTCAGCCCGGTCCGGCCCGCTCCTGCTCCCCGCACCAAGTCAGTGGTGCGTTTCGTCAGCCCGGCGCGGCCCGCTCCTGCTCCCCACACCAAGCCAGTGGTGTGCGTCGTCAGTCCGGCACGGGCCGTGCCTGTTCCACCGGTGGCTGGTCCGGCACCGGTCAGATGCTTCGCGCCGGAGCTAGAGCAATCCGCTCCACCAGTGTCAAGTTCAGCTCCAGCCAGCGGGGCCAGACTGGACCAGGGGCGCTATGGGGGGTTGATTGGAGGGTGGTGGTCAAGGCCGGAGCCAGAACCGCCGCCGAGGAGGTATGCCCGCCCAGCCCTCCCCTGTTTTGTTTTAGTTGAGGCGCGGTCGCAGTCCGCGCCTTTAGGGGGGGGGTACTGTCACACCCTGGCTCTGGGACCCTATATGTTGAGCCAGGGTGTGTTCATTCTGTGGTGTTCATTCTAGTTTGTTGTATTCTATGTTTGCCTGAGTGACTCCCAATCAGAGGCAACGAGTGTCAGCTGTTGGCTGGTTGTCTCTGATTGGGAGCCATATTTAAACTGTCTGTTTTCCCTTTTGTGTTTGTGGGTTTTTGTTCCGTGTTTCGGTCATTGATACCGTGGACGTCACGAGTCGTTTCTTGTTTTGTATTCATGTTTATACTTTAACTAATTAAAGTATGTTTGTTCATCACGCTGCGCCTTGGTCTGTTCCATATGACGATCGTGACACATGTGAGGGAAAAAAAACACAAGAAACACACCCACATCAAAGCACACCTCCAAGACGCAAATCTTGTCTTTTCAGTTGCATTTCTTAATGAGGAGGGCAGAAACCCGAGGTGAAATCAGCAAGTTCAGCCCCAATTGAATGATTTGTCTCTGCCAGTACAATGTTGTATGTGCTATAATTCAATCAATATATGTGGGAATTCAAAAAGTTCCAACCGTTTCTAATATAAGGCCTTCATAGTTCTCTACCAATTGACTTTCATTAACTCAAGCCTGGTTTATTGTGTTGCGTTGTTTCAGACAACATCCCAAAGCCAGCAGGCTCTAGTCCGGGGGGCGAGCTGAAGGAAGGGGCTCCCCTCATTCCCCCTCGGCCCAGTCCTGAACTCATCATGGAGCGCTGCACGGAGAACACCCGCAAAAAAGTCAGCGTCCGCAAGTCGAACTGAGCTTTAAACTTTGTGGATCTGGGCTTGTGTCAGTAATGCAATGCAAGCAAAGAGGGGTTAATGTGCGCAATACAACTGAACAGCAGATAAATTCAACCATGTGTGCCGTAGAGGGCATTTTGTTCTAAATGTAACCACTTAGGACTAGCTAACTGCTTGGAGAAAGTAAAACAATAGTGAAATGTGAATGTACACTCCTCTACGTATTTATTTGGACATTGACGCAAAAATGTTTAATTTGGCTATATAAATATGAGGCGACAGTACAGAATGTCACCTTCTATTTGAGGGGATTTTCATACATATCTGTTTACTTTATGTATACTGAACAAAAATATAAACGCAACCATTTCAATGATTTTACTGAGTTACAGTTCATATAAGGAAATCAGTCAATTGAAATAAATTCATTAGGCCCTAATCTATGGAGCCAGGCCCAGCCAATCAGAATGTGTTTTCCTCACAAAACGGCTTTATTACAGACAGAAATACTCTTCAGTTTCATCAGCTGTCCAGGTGGCTGGTCTCAGACAATCCCGCAGGTGAAGATGTGGAGGTCCTGGGCTGGCCTGGTTACACGTGGTCTGCGGTTGTGAGGCCGGTTGGACGTACTGCCAAATTTTCTAAAACGATATTGGAGGCGGCTTATGGTAGAGAAATTAACATTCAATTCTCTGGCAACAGCTCTGGTGGACATTCAGCATGCCAATTGCACGCTCCCTCAACCTGAGACATCTGTGGCATTGTGTTGTGTGACAAAACACATTTTAGAGTGGCCTTTTATTGTCCCAGCACAAGGTGTACCTGTGTAATGATCATACTGTTACCAGCTTCTTGATATGCCACACCTGTCAGGTGGATGAATTATCTTGGCAAAGGAGAAATGCTCACTAACAGGGATGTAAACAAATGTGTGCACAAAATTTGAGAGAAATAATCTTTTTGTGCATATGGAAAATTTCGGGGATCTTTTATTTCAGCTCATGAAACATGGGACCAGCACTTTACATGTTGCGTTTATATTTTTGTTAAGTATAAAATAAGTTACTCTAAAATGACACAGGTGTATTACTGATTTTTAAGTGTCCATTTTCTCTTTGTTACTTTTACATGTGCAGTTGTAATATTTTTTTAATAAAGTGTGTGGTTAGTAAATGTGTTTCTGACGCCGTATGCAGTTTTTGGAACATAAGCTTAGTTATTTGTTTGTTGAAATAAGCTATTTGTAACCTACAAAATAAATAATATATTCCAAAATTATTTTGTGCAGTCTGCTGTTTCATCTTGTTTGCAACGACGTCCCCACAGTGACTATATGAATGTATCCAAACCAAAAACCATGGATTACAGGCAATATCCGCACTGAGATAAAGAGCTACCGCTTACAAGGTACGGGACACGGACATGGAAGCATACAAGAAAGCTCACTACGACCTCCGAGGAGACATCAAATATGGAAAATATAGGAGGAAGGTGGATTTAAAAAAAACAAAAAACAAAATGTTCACCTTTATTTAACCAGGTAAACCAGTTGAGAACAAGTTCTCATTTACAACTGCGACCTGGCCAAGATAAAGCAAAGCAGTGCGATAAAAACAACAACACAGAGTTACATATGGGGTAAAACAAAACAAAGTCAAAAATACAACAAAAATAAATATATATACAGTGTGTGCAAATGTAGCAAGTTATGGAGGTAAGGCAATAAATAGGCTATAGTGCAAAATAATTACAATTAGTATTAACACTGGAACGATAGATGTGCAAGAGATGATGTGCAAATAGAGATACTGGGGTACAAATGAGCAAAATAAATAACAATATAGGGATGAGGTAGTTGGGCGGGCTAATTTCAGATGGGCTGTGTACAGGTGCAGTGATCGGTAAGGTGCTCTGACAACTGATGCTTAAAGTTAGTGAGGGAGATAAGTGTCTCCAGCTTCAGAGATTTTTGCAATTTGTTCCAGTCATTGGCAGCAGAGAACTGGAAGGAATGGTGGCCAAAGGAGGTGTTGGCTTTGGGGATGACCAGTGAGATATACCTGCTGGAGCGCATACTACGGGTGGGTGTTGCTATGGTGACCAATGAGCTAAGATAAGGCGGGGATTTGCCTAGCAGTGATTTATAGATGGCCTGGAGCCAGTGGGTTTGGCGACGAATATGTAGTGAGGACCAGCCAACAAGAGCGTACAGGTCACAGTGGTGGGTAGTATATGGGGCTTTGGAGACAAAACGGATGGCACTGTGATAGACTACATCCAATTTGCTGAGTAGAGTGTTGTAGGCTATTTTGTAAATGACATCGCCGAAGTCAAGGATCGGTAGGATAGTCCGTTTTACGAGGGCATGTTTGGCAGCATGAGTGAAGGAGGCTTTGTTGCGAAATAGGAAACCGATTCTAGATTTAACTTTGGATTGGAGATTCTTAATGTGAGTCTGGAAGGAGAGTTTACAGTCTAACCAGACACCTAGATATTTGTAGTTGTCCACATACTCTAGGTCAGACCCGTCGAGAGTAGTGATTCTAGTCGGGTGGGCGGGTGCAAGCAGCGTTCGGTTGAAGAGCATGCATTTAGTTTTACTAGTGTTTAAGAGCAGTTGGAGGCTACTGAAGGAGTGTTGTATGGCATTGAAGCTCGTTTGGAGGTTTGTTAACACAGTGTCCAATGAAGGGCCAGATGTATACAAAATGGTGTCGTCTGCGTAGAGGTGGATCTGAGAGTCACCAGCAGCAAGAGCGACGTCATTGATATACACAGAGAAAAGAGTCGGCCCAAGAATTGAACCCTGTGGCACCCCCATAGAGACTGCCATAGGTCCAGACAACAGGCCCTCCGATTTGACACATTGAACTCTATCTGAGAAGTAGTTGGTGAACCAGGCGAGGCAGTCATTTGAGAAACCAAGGCTATTTAGTCTGCCAATAAGAATGCGGTGGTTGACAGAGTTGAAAGCCTTGGCCAGGTCAATGAAAACGGCTGCACAGTACTGTCTATTATCGATCGCGGTTATAATATCGTTTAGGACCTTGAGCGTGGCTGAAGTGCACCCATGACCAGCTCGGAAACCGGATTGCATAGCGGAGAAGGTACGGTGGGATTCGAAATGGTCGGTGATCTGTTTGTTAACTTGGCTTTCAAAAACTTTTGAAGGGCAGGATGGATATGGGTCTGTAACAGTTTGGATCTAGAGTGTCACCCCCTTTGAAGAGGGGGATGACCGCGGCAGCTTTCCAATCTCTGGGGATCTCAGACGTTACGAAAGAGAGGTTGAACAGGCTAGTAATAGGGGTTGCGACAATTTCGGCGGCTAGGTTTAGAAATAAAGGGTCCAGATTGTCTAGCCCAGATGATTTGTAGGGGTCCAGATTTTGCAGCTCTTTTGGAACATCAGCTGTCTGGATTTGTGTGAAGGAGAAGCGGGGGGGGCATGGGCAAGTTGCAGCGGAGGGTGCAGAGCTGGTGGCCGGGGTAGTGGTAGCCAGGTGGAAAGCATGGCCAGCCGTAGCAAAATGCTTGTTGAAATTCTCGATTATTGTAGATTTATCGGTGGTGATAGTGTTTCCTAGCCTCAGTGCAGTGGGCAGCTGGGAGGAAGTGCTCTTATTTTCCATGGACTTTACAGTGTCCCAAAACTTTTTGGAGTTAGTGCTACAGGATGCAAATTTCTGTTTGAAAAAGTTAGCCTTTGCTTTCCTAACTGCTTGTGTATATTGGTTCCTAACTTCCCTGAAAAGTTGCATATCGCGGGGGCTATTTGATGCTTATGCAGTACGCCACAGGATGTTTTTGTGCTGGTCAAGGGCAGTCAAGTCTGAGGAGAACCAGGGGCTATATCTGTTCTTAGTTCTGTATTTTTTGAATGGGGCATGTTTATTTAAGATTGAGAGGAAATTACTTTTAAAGAACAACCAGGCATCCTCTACTGACGGAATGAGATCTATATCCATCCAGGATACCTGGGCCAGGTCAATTAGGAAGGCCTGCTCGCTGAAGTGTTTTTGGGAGCGTTTGACAGTGATGAGGGGTGGTCGTTTGACCGCGGACCCGTTACGGACGCAGGCAATAAGGCAGTGATCGCTGAGATCCTGGTTGAAGACAGCGGAGGTGTATTTAGAGGGTAAGTTAGTCAGGATGATATCTATGAGGGTACCCATGTTTACGGATTTAGGGTTGTACCTGGTAGGTTCGTTGATAATTTGTGTGAGATTGAGGGCATCTAGTTTAGATTGTAGGATGGCCGGGGTGTTAAGCATATCCCAATTTAGGTCACCAAGCAGTACGAACTCTGAGGATAGATGGGGGGCAATCAATTCACATATGGTGTCCAGGGCACAGCTGGGGGCTGAGGGGGGTCTGTAGCAAGCGGCAACAGTGAGAGATTTATTTCTGGAAAGGTGGATTTTTAGAAGTAGAAGCTCAAACTGTTTGGGCACAGACCTGGATAGTATGATAGAGCTCTGCAGGCTATCTCTACAGTAGATTGCAACTCCACCCCCTTTGGCAGTTCTATCTAGACGGAAAATGTTATAGTTGGGGATGGAAATTTCAGAATTTTTGGTGGCCTTCCTAAGCCAGGATTCAGACACTGCTAGAACATCAGGGTTGGCGGAGTGTGCTAACGCAGTGAATAACTCAAACTTAGGAAGGAGGCTTCTGATATTTACGTGCAGAAAACCAAGACTTTTACGGTTACAGAAGTCAACAAATGATAGCTCCTGGGGAGTAGGAGTGATACTGGGGGCTGCAGGGCCTGGGTTAGCCTCTACATCACCAGAGGAACAGAGGAGGACTAGAATAAGGATACGACTAAAGGCTTTAAGAACTGGTCTTCTAGTGCGTTGGGTACATAGAATAAAGGGGGCAGTTCTCCGGGCGTTGTAGAAAAGATTCAGGGCATTATGTACAGAAAAGGATATGGAAGGATATGAGTACAGTTCAGGTAACCCTAAGCGTTGGGTAACAATGAAAGAGATAGCATCACTGGAGGCACCGATTGAGCCGGTCTCGGCGTGTATGGGGGGTGGAACAAAGGAACTATTTGAGGCAGTTTGAGAGGGACTAGGGGTTCTACAGTGAAATTGTATAATAAGAACTAACCCAAACAGCAATAGGCAAGGCATAATTGACATGGGAGAGAGGCATAAAGCAATCACAGGTGTTATTAGAGAGAGCAAAGACAACAACTGGTAAT